GACGATGGCCAACCCTTTCACGTAAAACCATAAAACTTTTTCCGGCTCCCGTCTCACTCAAAACATCGAGGTCGTTGCCGCCAGAGGGTGCTGCGTCCTATGCAGCCCCGGGTATGAAGACATAGGAAAAAGACCAGGCGCGTTGGCGACCGATGAGGAAGCTGCACGCGACGCCTAAGCCTTGGTCTCTTCCTTCTTCGGCTCGTCCTCCTCGGTGCCCTGGTTCTTGACGTACTCCTCGTACACGCCGAGGGCCTCGTCAACCTTGAGCTTCATGGCGTTGTCATCCTCGATGCTGTGATGGTATTAGTACGTGCGTACAATGAAAACTAATGACGAGGCGACTTACAGGGTGATGAGCTCAGAGTTCTCCATCTCGAGGAGCATACCCGTGATCTTGCCAGCAAGCTCAGGCTGCTGCGCGGCAATCTTGGGGAAGATTAGCTCGCCAATGATCTGCTTCTGCTGGCGGGCATCGGTAGCGTTGTTCAACTGCAGCTGGATAGCGCTGAGACCCTGGGGAGGGGTGTTCTCGCCGGCGCCGGGAGCACCGCGACCGCCCTGGGGAGGGAAGTTGCCCTGCTGACCGTTGCGTCCGCCGCGTCCGCCGGCCTGGCCGGGCTGCTGGCGGTTGGGAGGGTAGCCGGGGGCACCGGGGCCCATGGGGCCAGCGGGCATGCCCTGCATGGGACCGCGGCCACCCTGGCCACGGCCGCCACCCATGGAGGCCTGCTGGACCTGCTGCATGGCAGCCATGAACTGGGGGTTGTTGGCCTGGGCGGGGAAGCCGCCGGGAGGGAACTGGCCAGGGACGCCGTACATGTTGGGGGGAAGCTGCTGGGGGATGCCGCGGCCACCCTGCTGGGGGAAACCGGCAGGGTACTGTCCGGGGCGACCACCCTGGATGTTGGGCATGCCCATGTTGGGGGGGAAGGGCATGCCACGGCCGCCCTGAGGCAGGAAGCCAGGCTGCTGGCCAGGGAAGTAGACAGGCTGCTGCATGAACTGGTTGGGCATGCCGGCCTGAGCGGCAGCGGACTGCATGCGCATCTGGTTGCGGGCCTGGATGCTCTGCTCAAGCTGGTTCTTGCGAACGTCCTTGCGCTGTGCCAGGGCGACGTAGAGAGGCTTGTTGTCGATCATGCGCTGGTTCATGTCGGCAACAGCCTTGGTGGCATCCTCGGGGTTGCTGAAGCAAACAAAGCCGAAGCCCTTGCTCTTGCCGAGCTTCTTGTCGCCCTTCCTGGCATCCTTCTTGTCGGCAGCCTCCTGGCTCTCGGCATCAGTCTCGCTGTCCTCCTTCTTGACCTCAGCTTCGGGGGCAGGAGTCTCTTCCTCGGCGCCCTCCTTGGGCTCCTCCTTGACCTTGTCCTCATCCTCGCCCTCAGAAATGCTATCACGCATGACCTTAGCGGAGGTGATGGGGCCAAACTCGGAGAACATGGCCCTCAGCTTCTCGTCGTCGACATCATCGCTGAGGTTCTTGATGTAAAGGTTGACACCCTGGTACTTGTTGGCCTTCTCCTGGCGAGCAGCCTCATAGGACTTGCGCAGCTCCTCCTCACGCTCGTGCTTCTTCTGGGCACGGCCGACGTACAGGTCCTGGCCGCGGAAGTCCTTGCCGTTGAGCTCCTCGACGGCCTGGGAGGCAGCCTCGTGGGTGGTGAAGTTGACGAAGCCAAAGCCGCGGCTCTTACCCTCCTGGTCGCGAGCAAGCGACGAGGAAGTGACCTCGCCGTACTTGGTGAAAAGGTCACGGAACTCGTCATCAGAGGCCTCGCTGTTGATGTTCTTGACGTAGACGTTGGTGAAGTTGGCCTTCATCTCCTCGAACTTGCTCTGGCGATCCTTCTTGGGGATGTGGTGACCGACGTAGACCTTCTTCTCGTTGAGAAGCATGCCGTTGACGTGCTTGATGGCCTGGGCGGCAGCCTCGTCGGTCTCGTAGTGAACGAAACCGTATCCCTTGGAGTTGCCGTGCTCATCTTGGGCAACCTTGCAGCTGAGGATGTTACCGAAAGCAGCAAACGTGTCGTGAAGGGCCTTGTTGTCGATGGCGACATCGAGGTTCTTGATGAAGACGTTGCCCTGGCCGTTCTTGCGGAGGGCAGGGTCGCGCTGCGACCACATGATACGGCAGGGACGGCCGTTGATCACGGTGTAGTTGAGCTCCTCGAGGGCCTTCTCGCCATCCGAGGTGGTGTTGTAGTTGACGTAGGCGTAGCCGAGCGAACGGCGAGTGACGGCATCACGGCAGACACGGATAGACGCGACGGGGCCGATGTGGGAGAACAGCTCGAAGAGCATGGCCTCAGTGACCTGGGGCTCGAGCTCACCGACGTAGAGAGAAGCAGAGGCCTGGGGCTGGGGAACGGCCGAGTTGGGAGTAGGACCAGCGGTGTCAGCATCGCCCTGAGCGCCCTCAACATTGGTGTTGATGGCAGGGGTGTTCTTCTCCTCGCCGTTCAGCGAGGTGGTGGCAAGGTCGTTGGTGAGCTGATCAACAGCACCGGTGTTCGCGGAGGCAGACATGGCGACGAGGTAGGGTAGTTTCGTTCTGGCAGGCAACTGTATTAGCCGTGGCTGTGTTGGTCACAGTGGGAGTGGTGGCCGGAGGTTGAAAGCCGACGGGCAAGGAAACGGTGTGCGCGCGGGCGGTGTGCAGTGGATTGGGTATTATGGTTCGTTCGTTGTTGGGAGGCGGGGGCAGAGGAGGGGAAGGGCAGGCTCGACTTACCGGGAGAATGAAAGCTAACGAGTTGTCGTTCGGAGGGGTGCAAAGACAAGAACGGGCGTCCAAGTCTTTTTGCGTGGTGATGTAGAGTAGGATGGATGTGGTGCGTCAAGTTTGACCGAGACACAAGGCGCTCTTGGGTGGGAGATTGGCTGGGCAAGAGTGCAGGAGGTAAGAGTAAGGGTATGAGGACACAAAAAGATGTGTCGTGGGATTTTTTGAGTGGATTTTAAAGTTTTTTTGGTTTTCCGTGTGTGATGAGCGAAAGAGAACAAGCACGAGAAACGCACTTCTTGTCTATTGCTCGTGTGTGTGAGGATCGAGATGATGAAGGGTTTGTGGATGGAGGAGAAGAGATTTCGGTCATGCCCCAAGATGGTTGAGGATTAAATTTTAGACTCGCCTGGCAGGCAAGCGTCGTCTCGGTTGGTCTTGCAGTCCTTTCAGCCAGTGACCGTTGCCGTTCAAAGAGGAAGGCACATGTGGGGATGGGCACCTGTGCGCCTGTGCCACGCTGGCAAGGTACCTGGCAACCCTGGCCACATTTTCTTTTCTTATCGCCTTATCGGAATTGTGACGGCCAAGCCTCGTGCGCCGTTAGCGTTTTTCCCGTGCGCGCGAAGCTTCCACCTCTGTCTTACTAACCACAAGGGACTCGCCGTCATCGCCCCGCCAGCTCACGGCCGCTATCCTTCCACCTCGCACCAGAGGAGCTCCCGTTTGGAGTGTGCCCCGCGACGATCCCAGTCTTTCGAATAGCTATCCTTTGATTGCCCGAGACTTGCTGAAGTTGGCATGTCTGTCCAAGTCAATCTCCTTGATTCACACCGTCTCTTGGACATGTTGCAGTATCCGTCTTTGAAGCTTGGTCACCAGTAATAGTACTACTACCAACCTTAACCCCCCCCCCCAACCGACTACCTACCGACAACGCCGGATCATCATGCACTCGACCTTCACGGGCAACTCCCGCCGAACCCGAAATGTCAACCTGAGCGGCCAAAACCAGAACCCCTTTGCCAATGTTTGGTCGCCGTCAGCCAGTTCTGGGGCTTCCAAGACAGTGTCAAACGCCCAAGCTGAGCGTCAACAGAGACAATTAGAACGAGACCGCTTGAAGGCTGCGAGGAACATCCAACGAACATGGAGGAGCCACCACGTCAGAAGACAATGCCGAGATGTCTGGCGACAAGCTTTCGATGACATTTACCGTGCTGACAACCCGAACACTGCTGTCCAGAGAGTGCATGCGGCTTTACCGCTGCTGCTTGCTGCCTTTCAGAGCAACCGACCCGAGGACGTGCATCGGCTAGCTTCTATAGCACGAGATGTCATGTCCCAGCATGTACGCTCTTTAGTCCCAGCATCAGAAAATGAATCAAGTAGAGAGCAAGAAGACCATCGTCTGAGACGATTGTCTGAGATAACTGTCGAGGCCCTTGGGGCAACAACTATGGAAACGTGGGTTGGGACGCTCAATGGCCTTGTCATATTTTCTGAAGAGAGGCTGACTGCGATTCATTCAGACTTCTTCAACCAGAATCGAAACTCCTTGTCGATCTCCTAGCCTACCTGGTCGCTGGACAACCTCAGTCTGTCATGCAGGTTCTCTCCCAGTACTTCCGACTCCTAGCAACACTGGTGCGTGCTTCTGCCTCAGATCAGCAGCAGCTCGAGAAGGTCCTGGCACTTGTGTTGGCTCCTTTAAACGAGCCCCCCCAGTATGGTATGTTTCCGTGCTCACCATAGTCCTCCATCATCCACGTGGCTCGGCTGCTTATACACTTCCCAGTTTCTGCCGAGGACGTCCGTCCATTCACAACCCGCGCCTATGATGCATTTGCTTTTGATTTCCTCGCAGTAGGGGATATAGCCCCTCTACAACAGGAGAACAACCTTATTGCGCAACGCATCGACATCGATAAACTCTCAGGAGCCATAATCGAAGCATACTCCGGGCCCCGGGCCGCCGCAGCAACGCCAGATAGTTTACTTTGGCTTCTCGCCTACTTTATAGACATACATCAGACGCAAAAGAGCACATCTCACCACCTTGGCTCGTTGCATGCCATGCACCTTCAGCTGTCCAGTCTGGCTTCTCAGATTCGATTTCGATTACCATTGGCAAGCAACGGAACGTCACGAAACACTGAGCGAGCGAATGATGGCACAGAGTCCATGCTCCGGCCACTGCCGCCTTATGTTTCGACCAAGCTTACCTCCTGCGTGGATCGAGCCGGTATTACTGATATCTTGTCGGATCTGGCCAGGTCAGTTTCAGTCGAGCTTACACAACGACAGAGGGCTAACTGCAGCAGCACTCTCGCCCCTGAGTCAAACGCAACTTCTGCTTCCCCTAATAACAAAAGCTTCCAGGGTGCAAGCCTCTTGGCAGGCTACATTGTCACGCTTCTGCGGTGCTTTCCGACGTTCGCTGATGACATTCGGATGCGCCTGTTTTTGGGAGATATTCCCTCAACAGGCGGAAATATCCCCGTCATCAAGTACCTTTGGAAAACAATGAGCCAGACATCGCTCTTTGAGCGCATCTGCCATGATAAAGGATCCGCTCACGCAGTCGGTTCGATCCCTTCCTTGATTAAAAGATACCTGTCAAAGTCGGGGACTCAAGAATACTCGGCCCTTGAGGAACAAGAGTGGAGATTGACTTTGCTTTTCCTTGAACTCTACACTTTCATATTGCGCCTCAGCGATGACGACGACTTCTTCAGCGGCATTTGGCCAAGGATCATCGAGAATGACGAGCCGCAGACTCGGCTCCGAGCATGCAGCCTCACCCTAGAAGACATCAAAAACTTGACATTGTTCCTCAAGAACTTGGCATTTGCCCTGCATTATTACACCAACGAGATCCTTCAGGATCTTGCTCCAAGCCTCGCCTCATCCAACGGATTGGATTCATTCTTTGGCTTCGTTGAAGGTCAGAAAGCCTCTACCAAGGGGAGACGCACATCCCTAGGTCCAAAGGGCCTATCCTTCGACAAGCCTGATCTAGCAGGATTGAGGGCTATCGTGACGTCAACGTTGCGCATGCTCTACGAACGGGACTCTCGACGTCCGTTTTTACCCCGGGACCACTGGCTCATGACCTCCAAATTTGACATGGAAAAGTTTGCGTCGAGCGTGGTGCGGGAACACGACCGCCAACAAGAAGAGCTGGCCAACTTGTCAGAGGACGAGGATCAAGACGAGGAAGACGACATGGATGATGACGTGGAGATGGAAAATGGCGTGCATACGTTCGCCGGTCAGCGCTTGTCACAGCACGCGCAAATAGAGAACATTCGAGCTCGTCAGAGACGAGCCCAGAAAGCTCGCATGCTATCCGTCATCGGACCCAAACTAGAGATCCTGCGGCACATGCCTTTTGTGATCCCTTTCGATGCCCGGGTCCACATCTTCCGACAGTTCATCTACCTCGATCAACAAAAGAGGAGACAAGGCATGGACGCCGAGCAGTGGCGGATGACCATGATCAACAATCCGCTCTTGCCCCAGAGAGGTCTGACCGGACGTCATCGTGGAAGCATCAAGAGAGGACAAGAATTCGACGATGCGTTTGAGCAGTTCTACGAACTAGGCGAAAGCCTCAAGGAGCCAGTCCAGATTCAATTCATCGACAGCTTTGGCGATGTCGAGGCAGGCATCGACGGAGGAGGTGTCGCTAAGGAATTTCTCCTCAGCGCCATTAATCAGGTGTTCATGAATCAGTCTGAAGACCGATACTTTGTCGAAAATAATCAGAAGCTGTGGTATCCGAACCCGATCATCTTCGACAAGTTCAGAGAAGAAGCCGAGGAGATGGGCCTCCCTGAAGCTGAGAAGAAGGATATCCTGACCGGACTCTCACAGAGGTACGAGTTTCTGGGACGCCTCGTCGGTAAATGCATGTATGAGGATATCCTCATTGACGTCAACTTTGCCGGATTCTTCCTACTCAAGTGGGCAGCTTCCGGTCTGACAGGCGAGGAGAGCTACCGGGGCAACGTGAACGACTTGCGTGACCTCGATGCTAGCTTGTATCAGGGTTTGGTGCATCTCAAGAATCTACCCGCTGACGAGGTGGAGTCCCTGAGCCTTGACTTTACAGTCGATGATCAGATCTCGGCGGATGGCGAGACGGTGCGCAGTCTGACAAGAGAGCTCATTCCCGGCAGGGGTTCGACGCCCGTCACCAAGGACAACAGACTGCTCTACATATCGTACATGGCGCGTCACCGACTCGTGGTGCAGCCCGCCCAGCAAACGATGGCTTTCCTGCGCGGTCTACGCGCCATCGTCGCGCCGACCTGGCTCTCCATGTTCAACCAGACTGAGCTGCAGCGCCTCGTCGGCGGCGACTCGTCCGAGATTAGCATTGATGATCTGCGCGACAACACAAACTATTCGGGACTCTACGTCATCGGCGACGATGGCGAGGAGCACCCGACGATCCAGCTCTTCTGGAAGGTCGTGCGTGGGTTCACGGACGCCCAGCGACGCGATCTGCTCAAGTACGTCACGTCGACGCCGCGTGCGCCGCTGCTGGGGTTCGGGTCGCTGAACCCGCTTTTCAGCATTCGCGACGGCGGCACCGACGAGGCCCGGCTGCCGAGCGCCAGCACATGCGTGAACCTGCTCAAGCTGCCGCGGTATACGGACGAGGAGACGCTGCGGCGCAAGTTGGTCCTCGCGATTTCATCGGGCGCTGGGTTCGACCTGAGCTGAGGGGGTGTGACGACAGTCAGAGGCGGAAAGCAGGAGCGTGTGTAACGATTGTATGAGGTATAGAACAGGTAGCGTTGGCAGCGTGATGCATATATCAGTGCGAGTTTGTTTTTCTTCCCCTCGAAGCATCCTGAGCTGCGATTCCCGCACACACCTGCCTGTACGCTAGTGAACGACATGACCAACGACACAAGTCACGGATGTGTTCATGGCAGCGTTGTGAGGTCATAAATGTCAGAGATTAGTTGTCTCTATGATCGTGATATGGTACAAATGGCTTCCAATCTGGGGGTGAGACCCTTCCCGTCTTCCATGCTTTGCTGCTCGCCTTTCCGTTTTCATGTAGTTGGTAATTCCGCTTACTCGGCGACCCAGACGGCGCTCATGCCCATACCCGTGCCGATGCACATGGACGTGTTGCCAACCTTCTTGCCGGTCCTCTTGAGCTCGTACAGCAGGGTGGAGATCTGCCTGGCGCCGGTGCAGCCGAGGGGGTGGCCGAAGGCAATGGCGCCGCCCTTGGGGTTGACCTTGTCGAGGGGGATGCCGAGCTTCTCGGCGGACCAGAGGCACTGCGAGGCAAAGGCCTCGTTGATCTCGTAAATGTCGACGTCCTCGGCCGTGATGCCGGCGAGCTCGTTGGCGCGGGGGATGGCCTTGTAGGGGCCCTGGCCCATGAGCAGCGGGGGGACGCCGACGATGGCGCCGGCGACGTACTTGCCGAGGATGGTCTGGCCGAGGCGCTCGGCGGTGGAGCGGCGCATGAAGAGCACGGCGGCGGCGCCGTCGGAGACCTGCGAGGCGTTGCCGGCGTGGATGCTGCCGTCCTTGGCGAAGGCGGCGCGGATCTTGCCGAGCGACTCGGCCGTCACGCCGGCGCGGATGCCGTCGTCCTTGTCGACCGTGATGGTGCGCGTCTCGCCCGACTTGGGGTCCTCAAAGGACACGGTCAGGGGCGCAATCTCGGCGTCGAAGAGGCCCTCGGCCTGGGCCTTGGCGGCCTTGGCGTAGGACGAGGCGGCGAAGGCGTCCTGCGCGGCGCGCGTCACGTGCAGGTCGCGCGCCATGTCTTCGGACAGCACGCCCATGGGGACCTTGCAGTTGGCGGCCTCCTTGTTGTTCTCGAGGAGCTCAGAGAACTCGGACACGGCGCTGGGGCTGGAAGCGGCGTGTTAGCTGGGGCTGACGCGAGAGAGGGGGGAGAGAGAGAGGGGGAGAGAGGGCAGAGCCAGACATACCCGTACTGCGTGCTCATGCTCTCGACACCGGCACCGATGCCAATCTCAATCATGCCCGACTTGATCTGGTTGATAATGTCGATGGAGGCCTGCAGACCCGAGGAGCACTGGCGGTTGAGGGTGCGGACGGCCGTCGTGGTGGGGAAGCCGGCAACGAGGGCGGCGGCACGCATCTCGGTGGCGCCACCGCCGGGGGCGAGGACGGTGCCGACGGCAATGTCCTCCACGAGGGCGGGGTCAATCTTGGAGCGCTCGAGCAGGGCCTTCAGGGCGCCGGCCATGAGGTCGGCGGCCTGGGTGTCCTTGAAGCCACCCTTGCCGCCTTTTGTGAAGGGGGTGCGGAGCGCGGCTGTGACAACGACCTGGAGGGAGGAGGTTGGGTCAGTCTGCGGTCTGGGCGACGACGCAAGGGTTTTGGAGGGATAGGCAAGGGAAAACACTTACATCGTCGGGGTTCTTCTGAAGAAGCTTCTCCTTGCCAGAGGCGCCGACAATCTGGCCGGACAGCTGGGAAATTCTCTCGATGGCACCCATGGTGGAAAGACGGAACGTGATGTGGTGAGGATGGAATGGGTATCTTGGAACAGGAACGGAGAAAGAAAGAAGAAAGAGCTGGGCAAGAGATGATGGATGTTGTGTCAAAGGTGAAGATGGCAAGGCGACGAGGAGGAGGAGGAGGAAGTTAAAAGACGTCGTATTGGCAGGAGGCTTTCCTCTGACGGCAGGTGTGTCTGAGCCTCGGATGTTTGCCATCGGTGGACGGCCAGACGGTGGGTTCTGATGTCAGCTGGTTTGGGGGCCTTGGCCTGGCGGCTCTCCCCCCCCAAAAACCGGCCGAGGCATCCCCCAGAATGTGATGGCGCATGGGGGGCAAAAGCCCGGCCCCTGTCTAGCGTCTCTCACATGCCACATCCGAATGCGGGGAGCTCACAACAGCCTCCTTCTCACGCCAGTGCCGGCTTAGGTCATCATGTCATGAGGCTCATGTCGTGAGGCATGCGGCATGAGGTATGAGGCATGAGGCATGATGCATGAGGCCATGCGCATTGGCTGACTGAGGGTTCAATGGACCTCTGCCGGAATGCAGGACATGTTCATACATTGGGGGCCGACACTGAGGTCGTGCTTCACCAGGTCCAGTTGCTTAGTTGCCTTACAAATACAATGCTCACACGCATGTACAACACAAACTGCTGCTCATGACCGCCTTCCCCAACCAGACTTGCCCTCATCAACCTGTCTCTCCCGCTCGAGCAGCGCATCAAACTCCTCCTGCGCCTGGCTCTTGGCCTCGGCCTTGTCCTTTTCTGTCGCCTTGTACGGGTAGTTGCTCCCGTAGCTGCCGGCGTTGGCGTTCGGCACGCGGCCCTGCTGCTGTCTGTCTGCCGCCGCTTGCTGACGCACTCTATCCCATGCCGATCCGGAGAATGTGCCTTGCGGAGACCCTCTGGCGCCTGGTGCCACGGGCGACGCATCGTCGTCGATGCCCTCGACGCCCGAGCTGCTCCAGCCTGGCGACTGCGTGGTCTCCGTGGATTCCGAGCCCCAGGTCGTCGGCTTGGTCGGCTCTGTGGCATATGTGCTTTGTGACGTGGCAGGCGTACCTGGCCCAGAGCCAGCGAGGGTGTCGTACTCCTTTTCCTGGTCAACAGAGTGCTGCGGGTCCTCTTTGGCCGCAATGGCCTCATCGAGCCGACGCAGCTGCTCCGTCTTGGCCTCCCGGATGGCGTTGAGCCCAGACTCGAGAGCCTCCGGTGACGTGTTGGCGCTGTTGCGCAGCGACTCCTCTGCCTTGGCGCAGGCCGCCTCGAGCTCGTCCTTGGCCCGGATGAGCTCCGTCTTGCTGGCCCTCGACGTGTACCTGCCCCCGTCCGGCGTCTGGCCGCTGGGCGCCTCGCCCGCCCTCTGGCGGCGCAGGGCGTCGGCGAGGGCCTTGAGCTGAGGGTCCATCGTCATGGCGGCAAAGTTGCTAATGTTGGCGTACGAGTGCAGGAAAGAGCCGACGGCGAGGTCGCAGAAGAAGTAGTACGCCACGAAGCGCGACATGTGCCACGCGTAGTGCGCCGCCTGGCCCTTCAGCACCTGCTGGTGCAGGCTGGGGAACACGTGCGGGCTCGTCTTGACCCATTTGGGCTGCCAGAAGGGGAAGCGAAACTTGGCGCGTCCGTTGTAGGCGATGACCGCGGCCATGGTGAGGCCGATCGGGAGCTTGAGCGAGTGAATCACCACGTCGCGCGCCGAGATGGTCGTGAGGGACGCCACCTCCTCCTGGGTGATGGGCCGTGACAGCTTTTGTGAGATGCTCCCGGCGACCCGCTTCGTGCTCGTCTGGATCTGACTTTCTGTGACGCCTAGGAGTGTTGCCCACAGGGGGATGGCGATTTCGGGAAACTGGTATGTTGTGGCGGTCCTCTCACCCGAGGTGCTGTCGTCCCAGCCTGCGTCTGTGTTGCGGGACGTCATGGTGTCGGGTTCCGCCCAAGCCGAGCGACCAACTTTCGAGATGGAATTCACACAATTTGGTTCTATTTGTTACTTAAAACTGGTGAGAATATGCCCAGGTTGCACCTGGCGCTGAAAAGTGACGATGATCGATGCGTTCTGGTCTGTGGACAACTGAATGAGTGACGTCTGTGACTTGACGTCTGTCGATCGAATTGATGAACCGCCGGGTCGTGCTGGGACTGGCCCGTGCGTCAGCTTCCCAGATGCGTATACTGTTTACTTGTATTCGAGACGCGTTCCCATGCAATTATCCAATCGTGGGGCAATTCAATATACGCGTTGCTCAACACTGGCAACATTTGATCAGTGCTCCGCACGCGTTCGCAGGAGGCCATCGCGTCTCCAACGCCATAGATGCAACAAACATTCAGCGAATGCTCTTTTTGGGCGTCTTCGACCAACACCTTCAAACGGCCGAATTTTTTTGGGGAAAAAGAAAGTTATTGGAACAAATGTGCAGATCATAGAGGCGGCGGTTCTTTTCTACCATGCCTCTCCCGCAGAGGTCACACTCGGCATACGAGCAGAACCGCTTTGCGAAGGTTGGCCTCGACATGTTTTATCACATGTATAGCTAACCTCTGACTGATTTTGTTTTCGTAGAGTCGTGCTCAGTGGCAGAGGGCAAAGACACATTCCGCAACGGGACAATCGACAAGCAATCGACCACTCGCACCGATATCCGAGAAGACGAAAAACAAGTTGACCGAGTTCCAGTTCCAACCGCCATCCGACGTGGTGGGCTTCACATCGACGCCTCCCGAGAAAGATGACCAGCAGGACACATGCCGACCACCAGTCAGCCAAGATGCAACGTCAATGACCCCAGCTGGCCGGGTCAGCCTCAAAGACCTCATGGCGCGGGAACCGAAGCCCTCCATCGAAATCGAACACCTCTCACCCAACGAGCGAATCATGTGGAACAATAAAGAGGACCCGGCATACTCCTCAATGATCTCCCCCATGATCTCAAGGAGGCATAGGAAGAGGGCTCGCAGCTCGTCTCCCATTTCCTCACCATGCACGGACATGGCGCCAACGCCTGTCCCAGCTGTCGATGTCAAGAAACTAGGCGCAGCATTGCGGTCTCCTCACGCAGACCCGACTCTTGAACTCTGGGACCGTTTCTCGCTCGGAAACCAAGGAGGCCTGGCCACGCCATTGGGAGCAACGAACACCAGCCTTGCCCAATTCATGGTTTCCTCGTCTCCGAGACCCCCCAAGGGCGCGGTACCTTCGACCGGGGCCGGGTTCCGCAGGACTCTTAGCAATGGACTCAATTGGCCGAAGCGACGGCGCTTCGACCGTCCAGAGACCCTGGGCATGTCTGCGAGGAATAGCCAGTCATTTGGCGATGCCTCCAAGTCGTCTTTGGTCACTGCTTTGCTTGATACTGTAGAGAGCAAGCAGGAGTTTACGTCGCCCGCATCAGCCTCTGGAAAAGACATGGCATCAGAGTCGCCGTGCCCTCAGAAAAGGAGCACTGCCATCCATGGGACCACACATGACCGGACCCCATCGTCAAGTCCGTACAAACAGGAACGACCCAAGCACGGGATTGCTCACAACCAGGGTCACGCAGTCAGACAGGGTCTTGGTCTGGGTATTGTCACACAGGCAAAGCCTGAATCTGACTACGGCGACGACGACTTTATGGATGACGATCTTTTGGACGACGACACCCTGATGCAGCTCGATCTCACAACCACGCAGCCATCGAAACCTGCCAGTCAGGCACCCATGGGACCACCTCCTTCACCGTTGAAGAACGTTCATAAACCGGTAGATTTCCTGGATGACGACTTCGATGATGACCTGGACGACAACATTATCGAAGCTGCGGGTCTCATGATGGACCACTTTGAGAAGACGAACGCATCACAAGCCCCATCTCAGCCAGTTCGAGCGCACCACCCGTCGCCCCCCAATCTGGCGCCAGCAGCAGCTAAGGACGACCCAGAAGATGAATTTGGCGACGACTTCGGAGACTTCGATTTCGATGCGGCAGAAATGGCGGCTACACAATCCGCCAAACAGCCAACCTTGCCACTGCCCGCTGTACGTTGGATGAAATAACCAGGAGTACGACTCATGCTAAGACCCAAGGTAGACACAGAAACCCAAGGCCATTCAGCGATATTTGGTGACCAACGTACTAGAAAGCGAGTACCTCGACGACCACGGCCGAACAAGGCTCGAGAAGGTAGGCCGTTGCTCGTCCCGGCTGATCCCACGCTAATGCTTGGCCCAGATGCTTCTTGTCCAAGTCGAGAAGACGAAGATTGTGCGAACTATACACCTCAGGGGTGACTGGTACGAAACGCCTGCGCATGAAAAATCCTTTGTTCACATTATCGGTGACTTCGACACCGAAGGACGCTGCGTTATCAACGATGAACAGAATATGGTTATTTTGCACCCGGATCAGCTCATATCTGCCACCGTCGTGGCCGATTCCTTCACGTGCACCCGTCGTGCTGTGCTCCAGGATCGCGTCAAGGCCACGAGCGAGGCTTCCGCGCCACTCGTGTACGGAACGATGCTTCACGAGGTCTTTCAAGCAGCTCTTCTCGCGAACCAGTGGGACCTGAAGTACCTGAGCGCTGTCATCGACACAATCATGGAGAAGCACGTCGAGGATCTGTACAAGATCAAAGTGAGCACAAACATCGCTAAAGAACACCTGCAGTCCAAGATGCCCGAGCTGAGCAGCTGGGCGGACATGTTCGTCGCGTCACAGCCGAAGCCAGACGCCATGGTATCAGACCGCAACGGGAAGAAGGTCAACATGTGCGTGAGCAAGCTGCTGGACGTCGAGGAGCATGTATGGTCGCCTATGTATGGTCTCAAGGGCAACATCGACGCCACAGTCCAGGTCACCATGAAAGACGGCAATGACACTCGTGTTTTGACGGTGCCATTCGAGGTCAAGACGGGCAAGAACGCCAACACGAGCCATGTAGCCCAGACGTCTCTGTACAATCTACTCCTCACGGACAGATACGACATTGAGATTGTGTATGGTATTCTGTATTACATGGAGTCCTCGCAGACGTCGAGGATCCCGGCCATTCGACAGGAGCTCCGCCATATGATCATGCAGCGAAATCAGCTCGCCTGCCACATCCGCGAGCGGAGCGTGCAGCTCCCGCCGATGAAGAAGAGCAAGCACATGTGCAACAAGTGCTATGCCAAGACGGCGTGCTTCATCTACCACCGGCTCGCAGACAACGGCGACGATGTGACAAGCGGCATGGGCAAGCAGTTTGACGAGGTCGTCAGGCACCTGACGCCTACCCACCAAGAATTTTTTATCAAGTGGGAGAATCTTTTGACAAAGGAAGAGAAGGAGAGCCAAAAGCTCCGGCGAGAGTTGTGGACCATGGTCAGCAAAGAAAGGGAGAAACTCGGACGATGCTTTTCTGATGTCATCATCGAGGAAGGCTCTTGGTCCGAAGATCACAACAGCCCCAGCATCAACCGATTCCGATACAACTTTATCAAACGGGAGCACAACGGCACGCACTCCTTCATGGAATCGCAGCTGGCCGTCGGCGAACCGATCGTCGTTTCTGATGAGCAGGGCCACTTCGCTCTCGCTCTGGGTTATGTCACGTCAGTGCGCAAGCAGAGGATCTGCGTCGCCGTGGATCGGCGTCTGCACAATGCCCGGGTGCGTCAGCCCGGTTTCAACGAGCACGATAATCAGGTATTCGCTGGTATCATGGAAGTCGAGCCTGAAGGGTCCACCCCTGATCAGCATCAGGGCAGGGTTCGCGGTGAGCCCATGCGCTACCGACTCGACAAAGACGAGTTCAGCAATGGCATGGCGGTTGTGCGGAACAACCTTGTTCAGATCATGGCCGACGACGTGTTTGGAGCTCGCGAGATCCGCCGCTTGGTGGTCGATCTGGTTCCGCCGCGGTTCAAGGCCGCACCGACTCAGTATGAGATTGCGGACCGGGCAAGCCTGAATGTGGACCAGCAAGCTGCCATCGAGAAGGTCATGACGGCACAGGACTACGCCTTGGTACTGGGCATGCCTGGCACGGGCAAGACGACAACCATCGCCCACATCATCAGGGCTCTCGTGTCCCAGGGCAAAAGTGTCTTGCTCACGTCGTACACGCACACGGCTGTGGACAATATCCTCCTCAAGCTCAAGCACGACAGCATCCCTGTCTTGCGACTGGGGGCACCGGCCAAAGTGCACCCTGAGGTCCAGGAGTTTGCCACGCTGGCAGCCGTGCCGATGCATTCATTTGATGAGATCAAGTCGGCGTGGCATGATCCTCCGATTGTTGCGACCACGTGTCTCGGCATCGGCCACCATGTCTTCAACGAGCGTACATTTGATTATTGCATTGTCGATGAGGCGTCGCAGATCACGCTGCCAATCTGCCTTGGCCCCATCAGGATGGCCAAGACGTTTGTTCTGGTAGGAGATCACAACCAGCTTCCTCCGCTGGTGCAGAATGAGGAGGCTCGCGAGGGTGGCTTGGACGTCAGCTTGTTCAAGCTGCTCTCTGATACGCACCCGGACTCGGTCGTCAACCTAGAGCATCAGTATCGCATGTGTGAGGACATTATGACTCTGAGCAACAGCCTCATCTACAAGGGCCGGCTCAGGTGTGGCACGGAACAGCTCCGTTTCACCAAGCTTGACGTGCCCAACATGGGCGCTCTCCAGCAAAGGCATTACGACTCTGCTCGCCTCCTGCAGCCTAGTGCGCCGCGGTCGTTCTGCGCCGGTCCCACGCCTGGACGGTGCTGGATCCGTGACCTCCTGGAGCCCGAGACGCGCGTCCGCTTCATCAACACGGACACGCTGCAACCCCGGACGCACGAGGAAGCCAAGGGCAACCGCATCGTCAACCCCGGCGAGGCGCGCGTCGTGACGCAGCTCGTCGAGTCGCTCGTCGCTGTCGGCGTTCCCGAGACGGAGATCGGCGTCATGACGCACTATCGCTCCCAGCTGGCGCTGCTGAAGCACGGGCTGCGCGGTCACCCCAGCGTGGAGATGCACACGGCCGACCGCTTCCAGGGCCGCGACAAGGAGGTCGTCGTGCTGTCGCTGGTGCGGTCCAACGACGCGTGCGCTATTGGCGACCTGCTCAAGGACTGGCGGAGAATCAACGTGGCGTTCACGCGCGCCAAGACGAAACTCCTCGTCGTCGGCAGCCGGGAAACGCTCAAGGGTGCGGGCCACGACGAGATGCTCGCCAGGTTCATCGGCCTCATGGAGAGCAAGGCGTGGGTGTATGATCTGCCGGCGGACGCGCTCGAGTCGCACGTCTCGGACGACGCGGCTACGCAGGCGTCGACGGCCGCAGCGCTGTCGCCTGTCAAGGCGAGGCCGGGGCTCGGAGGGCCTGTGAAGGCGATCGGGGGGTTGAAGGGTTTCGATAAGGAGAATCAGAGACCGGAGCCAAAGAGGGCCATGGCGGGAGAGAGGCTCCTGACGAAGAATAGGCCGATTACCAGGGATATCCTGAACGACATGACGAACGGGGCGTATTGATTTGGCTACAGGGTGGAACTTAGGAGTTGGTTGTGTTGGATCATGGTATTCAGGATATGCGTTACATTGGCATTATGGGATATGGTTGGCGTTGACAGCGAAGCATTTAGCATACGAGCTTGGGGACAGCGGTTGATTGGAAGAGCAATTCAAGCATGGGTAGAACTGGCGAATATGTGCCATGACATCCATGTCTTTGGTACCTGCGGCCCACATGGCTTGCTGTAAAGTGGCGATGAGAGCAAGGAGTGTCTTACTCGGCAAAGCAAATGTACCACAACTACTAACCTCCACGCAGTAGATACTGGCATACTGAGGGTCCCAGAACCTACTACGCCATGCTGAACAAGCCACCTGCCGATCGACGTAAAGAGGGCCAATGGGGGACTCACCCTCTGCGTGGGGGGCGATACCAAAGCATCAGCAAAGCCTTGTTTGAATACGCGTACCTGCAGCAGGCGCTTACATGATGCACGACGCCCGTTCGCAAAGGCCTGGCCGTCGTGATGAGAAGCAAATGAGGCTGATGACGACCTCCACTGTGCGCCATGTACGAGTATATATAAATTGCTCCATCGCCGCGATGAAGTGAGCGCAAGCAGCCCGTACTGACGACACGTAAAAAACTCGCGCAAACGTTTCACCGAACAACAATGGACGCACACACCCCCTACGAAACCTTCCTCGTCACCTCCCGCCACGGCGGCGCCCAGACGACCATCGACCGCCTGAACCCCCAAACAGGCCAGGCAACGCCAGCCTACGTGCTGCACAAGACGCCGGGCCAGAAGACGGCCGCCGTGCTCTACGCCTCGGCGGGCCCGAACGCGCCCCCCGCCGGCACGTTCCGGCACCACTCGCTCTCGGCGGCCACGGACGTGACCCTGCGCGGCGGGCCCCTCTTCAAGATGCAGCTCGTCGCCGAAGACTACCCCGCGCGCAAGCAGGTGTTTGCCTCGCCCGGCGGCGGCGCGCGGTTCACGTGGGGCAAGGACGCCGAGACGCTGTCCCCGCGCAAGCTGTCGTTTCGGGACGCCGCCACTGAGAGGGTGCTCGGCCGGTATGCGATGTATCCGGACGGCAGGGCCGCGGGGCCGCGGCCTACGTTTTCGCTGTACGTGCCGCCGGGGACCGTGGACATGGACATGTTTGTGGTGACGGGCGTAGCGGCCATGGATCTTTGGGCGGGAGAGGATGAGGCCGGGTTCAAGCTGCTGGGCAAGCTGTTTAGTTTCGCGGGATGAGAGGTGGCTTGTTTCATGGCGAGGTGTTCTCCGGGTTTTTTCTTTGCGATCACGAGCGGGAAGACGAGGATAGCCATGCGGTAACTGGGCTGACTCGGGCATTTGAATGATACTCTGGTACGCAGCGCTCTCTCGCTTTGCATCATCGGTTCACTTGTGATGGGGTATCCTTTCGTCCTCCTCTTCGTCCGATGTGTCAGAGCCGTCGCCTCTGAACTCGTCATCAAACCCTTGCTCGCCAACGATGAGTTTGGTATAACGCTCCAGCTCCTCCAACTGCGCGACACAGCCCGTCAAGCTCTCGTTGAAAGCAAAGCCATAGACCTGGGCCCATTTCCCATTGGATGCGAGTGAGACGTGTAGTTCCGTTGATTTTCTATGCATCTTGTGCGCGGCGAGCTCTTCGGCTTCAATCTCGGCCATTCTGTCGAGGAGCCGTTTGCGGGCCACAGCTGCGCTGGGCAGATACCGCTGTCACATATCAGAAATCTTGCTGCCCTGTGGCGGGGAAGACGGGAATGCTTACAGGTACCTTGCGGTCAGACTTGAGAGCCCCAGCGAGGATGTACAAGTTGCTCAGGATACAAGCCACAGCATCACGGCGGTAAGATAATAGTTTCTCAGCTGCCGCGTCATTGTCGCGAACATAGCCGGGGTCGTAGTTGAGCGCAGCCTGGCGCACAGCGATGAGATGCTCAAAGAAATTCTCACATGCGTCGGCAAGCGCTGAATAGGGCAGCGGGTCGAAAGGGCTACGGAGGCGGAGCTCGTGCCGTGTCATGATGAGGAGCTGGCGGATTCGGACGAAGCCCTCACGGAGACGACCCTCGAGCATCTCTGAACGTTCAATGTCTTGCTTTGTGGGCTGTTTCTGTTCTTCGTAATAGACATATTTGGACAACACACCTAAGGCACGTTAGTGGATTCAAAATACAAGGCGTGACATGAGCATTCTGTACCTCTGTAGAGAACAGATTGGAAGAACAGCATGGAGGACAGAGCCTTTCGAAGTTCATGGCGCGAGACGAACGGCCATAGAATCCAGTTTATCATGACGGCGCTGACAGTGCCAACAAGAAACGCCAGTCCGCGTGTCGCAGCCATTCGAGCGGCGGATTGATGCTCATCAGCCGTGACGAGTGCCAGGGAGATGACGCTGAAAGACAGACATCCGGCAATGCCAGAACGCTATAAAAATCAGTTCAAGCCCCACCGTGAGCCAAGAAGCAGTCATACTGACCGGATGAGAGCTTTGGGTAAAGCGATAAAGCATTGGTAGCATGTAGATGAGGGCAAAGACGGCCATGACATAGGGGTTACCGTCGCGCGCAGCATACGCGATCCCAGCCCAGACAGCCCCGAGGGTGACGCAGAGTGCTCGCATAAGAAGATCCTGCATGTTGCCACCGATCCTGGGAAAATATTTTTGTCAGCGGAACGAGAACGTCTACTCACGCTGGTCTGGTCCTCACCTCGGATGAACCATGACCCATGCCATGACGACCGCCCACCAAGACTCCTCTAGGTTCCACCAGCTTCGACTCTTCTCGAGCCAGGCTGGAATGGCCAGCAACGCAGTGAGCATGCAGACTTTGAGCGCATACTTGCTCTCGAATCCCTGTAGCCGATGCAGGATGCGCCAGATCTGGTATCCAAACTTGTTGTGTTTCGATTCTGGTTTGGGCATCTCCTCGGCCTCCATGGTGGTCGGTGACCTCTCCAGCGGAGTTGTCGCACCTGATATGGAGCTCTTTCTTGACCTCGGAGCAGGCCGGTGTTCCCTAGACTGAATGGCTTCGATTAGTGTTGTGATGTCGTCAAAAGTCATCTTGACGTTGCCTAGTGAGGTCAGAACATTGCGTGCGAGCTGGAGGCCTTGGGTTCATACTGGCCGACACGCCTCCGCGGTCTCGTCTGATCTGCGCATTGGCGTAGTTGATGGCCTTGTGGAGAGAGTATGTCGGAAGGTAGAACTTGGGCCGTCCCGCGCTCTGCTTCATATCGTTGACGTGTACACCCAAAGTGTCTATCGAGCCAGCGGCACCACGAATGTGATGTGCAAAAACAAGAATGTTGGACACCTCCTTGATGCGAAGTGTGTCGGGTAGGACGCCCGACAACTGTAGTTCTTGATCTGCTTGATCAAAATCGTCGATTGCCTGGCGTAAAAGATTCTTGGCCTGATCAACGTCGTACGCTTCGTCTTTCGGGGGTCCCAGAGCCGAGCGGTAGCCGGACATGTCCATGAGCGCAGCATCGCATGAGCGAATGACGCTTCTCATGTGCAACAGCATGTCCTCGGTAGGCGCGGCCAGTTTCAAGGCAACCAGTCGGAGCAATGCGTCTGGATCATCTCCCGGCATTGTTTTGGTATCACCAGAGGAAGCCTCCGTACAGCCGTCAACATCCGTGGCAACCGTCTCAAACGCAGTGACTGTGACGGGAACGATGCCAGCCTCGGGCACATCCCAGCTCTCGAACAGTCTGGTTTCGGTCTTGAGCAGTAAAATCGAACGAATGACACCCTGTATTAGGTTGCGCAGCTCACGGACCTCGACGGGGTTATATCGCGTGAAAGATACATCGAGGCGGAGATCGCGGTATGCGACGCCGACTGCCACAAAGACGCGGGCCAAGGACCGCCTGAGGAGTACGTTGCGCGGTCTGGGAATCTCCAGGGCGTCCTGTGTTCACGTCTTAGCTCGGTTGCTCACCACCGCTGACAGAAATAGGGGTGTAATTGACTAACTTGCATGATGAGGAAAGCCTCGTGAAGTGTCTCGGCCAGAGCACGGGAGCCAGCATCGGGGAGGAACGCGAGGTTGACGACTAGAGAAATAGCCTGGCCCAGAATCCATGGAATGCCGTACGACCAGAATTTGATATATCTAACCTGTTCGCCGTTCACTTCGGCGAGGCAGCTGTAGCACATGGCAATGCCGGCGGAAATCGAGAACTGGTAAAATCTAGTCCAGTAGGCTCGGATGTATGCGACACAGGCAATGAAGATGGAGAAGAAAAGGGCAAGAATAGCACCATAGCCCGTGCGGGCATCCACGGTGGAATACGACAGGATGAGGCCAATGACGCCCCAGGCAAGACCTGAAATGGTGCCGAGAATGGTGAGAATGGTGCCGTCGAGCTGAGGCCCCATTGGCCGGGCAGGGTGGTTGATGATGACAGAAACAACCATGATGTAGTTGTAACGGCCCAGCCACTCCCTCACCTGTGGGGCAAGACATAGGCAGTACGCGATGAAGAAGGCGAGAGAAGCTTTGAAGAGCCTGACGCCGGACCTCGTGGTCATGACCTTGAAGAATACAGATCGCAGTTGACGTCTCTGTTTGGGCAGGAAGTGATGCAAGGAAAGAGGCGGGTCTTTCGCAAAAGCGGCAGGGAGAGTAGATTCTGCATGTCTCATGAGCCTTTGGTAGTCGAGGGGCCGTTGCTTGAGGTAGACGGCGTCGAACCATCCATCGCGGATTTCCGAGATGCCGTGGGTGTCGGTATCGAGGTGATCCTTCTCCAGGAGCTCAGCAACCATCTCCATGTCAACAGCCGAGCTTCGCCTTCGTTGGCGGTAGAGCTCTTCGGATTCGACGTTCAAGAGAGCGCTTTCTAGACGGTTACGGTCGTTTATCGTCTGCTCTCGATGGTGCGTCCAGGCTCGTCGGATGCTGAAACGACGACGCAGACCTGTGGTCTCCTGAGGCGGCGCTGGCAGATTTGCTGTGCCTGACCTCGTCTTTGCAAAGTCCACCATGGCAATGCTCTCCGTGCCAGAGCCATCGGCCGAGGGCATGGTCGGCGCCCTTGCTATCTGTGGTTGGGCTAATGGCGGAGCCGAATATTGGGATGCTTCGGGCGGCGGTGCCATCACGCGCACCGGCTCTGGCTCAGTGGCCATCAAGAACTTGCACTATGATAACGACCCGACAGCAGGCATCAGAAATTTCAGCAAATCTCTTCATTGCGAACCTGGTCGATTCGACGTTGGGCATCAAGTAGTGGCTCAGAAGTTGAGGAAATGTTGACGCTTGGACAAATATCCAGGATCAGACTGGGATATCCAACGTGGCATTGACAAGTGGATCAGAATCATGCCTCGACTCAAGGTGATAGATAGTTGATGTGACTGAGGTGATTGTGAGGACCAGGCATGTGCCGTTCGCGACTGAAGGCATTCGCGCCACTGCAAAGCCTCCCCACGAATCCTGCTCAGGTGTTGTCGATCAAAAGTATCCTTGGCCACTTGACCACATCCTGTTAGTCGATTGCTAGCGACGTCGCTCATCTGGAGGAGCTGATTGCTGGAGGGGGATGGCCAAGAACGGGGGCGTGAAGCAGCAGATGACCCAAGGGTGGAGCCGGCCACATCACGTGATCCACTCCGACCCGCGGGCGGTCGGCAAACCTCCACCGTCGACATCTTGCTCACGACCACCAACCTCATCAACGTCCGCTCAGCCGCCCTCAACGCTCCACCACCACCACCCACGCCTCCGCGCCGCCCACCACCCGAGGGTTCCTCCCCAGCAAACGACGACACGCACAGCCGATTGATTCGAAACCCTGCCAACTTCACCCCACCCCGCCAGCGACAATGCCGGCGGTCCGACCGAGCGCCGCCCTGGCCCGCGCCGCCACCCGCGCCCTGAGGCCCGCGCCCGCCATGGCTGCGAGGCCCTTCAGCGTCACCGCCCGCCGCGCCGGCGGCGGCAACGACTTTGACCCCCCGACCGGCTGGCTCTTCGGCGTCAAGCCCGGCGAGAAGTACGAGCGCGAGGGCTGGGAGGTCCCCTTCTACACTCTGTTCTGCGGCGGCATCGTTGCCCTGGGCGTGGTGCTGGCTTTCAAGCCTGATACCTCGTGAGTTTCCCCCCCAAATTGTCTCCGGTCCTTGATTCAATTGGCGATGGAAGACTCTTGTGAGATGCGCTGCTTGGGCGGCATTGAAGATGATGGACGGGGATGGAAGTGTCGTGGGATGAGTGATGCTGCGCCATTTGGGAATTTTCTTCGGAACCAACTGTTGCTAACGTGTCATGTGCTAGGCTCGACACCTGGGCCCTGGAGGAGGCCAGGAGGAGGTTAGAAAAGGAGGGCATCCTGCCCGACCCTTTCCCCGAGAAGAAATAAGCTGTGGATATCTGTCACTGTCTACCACAGTTCTTCGTATTTTTCGTCACGGTTAGAGGGGGAGCAGAGGAGAGAGGGAGAGGGAGAGACAGAGGAAGAGCACCGAAGAGCTAAGAGGCGAAAGCCTAGAAGTAAATTGTACATGACGTCTGGTTTTCCTATGCAAGACGCAGTCTCGACGGTTTTCGGCATGGCTAGACCTGCATCAACGACGCTCGATCGTCAATAGTATACATCTCACCGACTGCCTGGCTTTTCTCTTTGACATGTTGTACCACGTAATGCTCGCGGCAGAGCCTTGCACCATCAAAAAAGGCAATAGGGGACATTGAAGGTGCAAAGTTGTGCGAAAAGTCTGGTCATGTATTGACTTTCTCTTTCTCTTCTTCTCTAGATCTACAAATTCAGATCTTCGCTTCAAAAAATCAATCAATCAGGGGAACCTCTCCACTCTATCTTTGTCCACGGACACCACTCAAGCCTCCACGACGTGGCTCCACTCGTGCTCCTCGTCACCGTACTGCCTCGCCTCGATCCAGCCCTTCATCCTGAGCGCAACCTCGCCAGACTCCTCGGCCTCGGACAGGCCGCAGCTCACCGTCTTGCCCTTCCAGGCGATGGAGCGCACCGGGCTGATGATGGCGGCGGTGCCGGACCCAAAGGCCTCGATGAGACGGCCCTCCTGCGCGGCCTCGTCGAGCTCCTTCATGGTGTACTTGCGCTCGGAGACGAGCCAGCCCTCGGGGGCGAGCTTCTCGCGGGCGAGGCTCAGCACCGAGTCGCGCGTGACGCCCTCGAGGATGGTGCCGTCGAGGGGCGCCGTGACGAGCTCATTCTGGCCCGTCTCCTTGTTCTTGAGGGCGACAAACATGTTCATGCTACCGACCTCGGTGACGAACTCCTCCTGGCCAAAGAGCCACAGGTTCTGCTGGTGGCCGCGGCTCTCGGCCTCCTGCTGGGGCACGATGCAGGGGGCGTAGTTGGCGCCGAGCTTCTTGTCGCCGACGCCGCCGGGCCAGGCGCGCACGGCGTAGTCGGTGGCCTCGAGCGTGATAGCCTTGAAGCCTGTCGGGTAGTAGGGGCCGACGGGCGAGGCGATGACGTAGAGGAGGGCCGAGCCGGGCGCGTTGACGCCGAGCGTCTTTTGCGTGCCGATCATGGTGGGACGAAGGTAGAGGGAGTAGCCGCGCTCGCTGGGGATGAAGCGCTCGTCGGTGCGCACGAGCTTGCTGATGAGCTCGATCATGGCCGTCGGCTCAAAGGTCGGCAGCGCGATGCGGGCCGACGACTTGTTCAGGCGGGCCATGTTCTTGTCCGGGCGGAAGAGGCGGATCTTGCCGGCCTTGTCTTTGTACGCCTTCATGCCTTCAAAGCACTCAAAAGCGTAGTGGAACACGCATGTTGCCGGGTCGAGCGAGAGGTTCTGGTAGGGGATGATCTGGGGCGCCAGCCAGCCCTTTTCTTTCGTCCACTCAATGGTGAGCATGTGGTCTGCGTACAAGTTTAGTCAGGCGTTCAAGAGAGAGAAAGAGAGAGAGAGAGAGAGAAAGAGAGAGAGAGAAAGAGAGAGAGAGAAAGAGAGAGAGAGAAGGCGCAGATGGGGTCCTGGGAGTCTGACCTGAGAACTTGCGGCCAAAGACGAGCTCCTCCGGCTTGCTGAGCTTGCCAGGCGTCTTGGTCTCCTCTATCGTGAGCTTGGAGGCGTCGAGCCCCAGCGGCTTAGCATCAGAAGCCGCCACGGGCTTGACGCTGTACTGGCGTGCAGCCTGCCATGTCGCCGGGCGCTGGGTAGGGAGCTGCGATAACCTGAGGGCGGTGCGGGCGCTGGCGCGCGGGAACAGTTGCCGCAGCATAGCAGCGGTTGGGCTGTGGAAAAAGATTTGAAGGGCCTGGTGTGATATGTGACGAGAGCGATTGGAAGTAAAAGGACGGGCGAGGAAAGGACAGCGAGAAGGCTGAATGACTCAATTGACAGGAGAGGAACTATTCAAAGGTAACAGTAGAGATTGATGGGGGAATGCCGAGTGGGAAGGACAGCAGCACAAGTAGTTTCCTGTGGTCGACGAGAGTCAGAGAGAGTCGGAGCTTCATCGGAGGCTTGAGCCGTTGTTTTCCATCTTCTGTCGCTGAAGGGCGCCCCTGCGGTACGGGTTACACCAGCTAATCAGGCCGGGCACTGGCACCTGGGCCAATCAAAGGCAACCGAAAGCGGCGCAAGAGGACAATGGCAGCAGAACCTGGGGCCTTCGGTACTGGGGCCACTGGGGCCGTTGGGTACCTGGGTACCCAAGGCAAGGTACCTTACCTCACTTACCTACCTTACCAGACCAGGGACCTGACGCAGCAGTTCGTTACAGGGCTCCCTGGGGCACCAACTCTTCGGCTTTAGTGGAAGCATGGCCGCTAGCGCACCCAGCTCGCCGAATAAGGGTCTCGCCCAGTTGGAGCTCCGCTTTCCGCGTGCTACTTACATGAAGCTGGGGTCCAGTCATGTCTGGCCTAGGTAGATGGCTACCTAGAGGCCGGAGGTGAGCGATGCAACCTGGTGCAGGCAGCAACCAGCGTCTGACCTCACCTTGGCTCACCTTGGGACTTGGCTGCTGAGAAGTGCTGCTCCCCTCCACCCCCCCCATCCTCAGCATCGACAGGTCAACCTGGACACCTGGACATTGACGCGGCTGAGCCATTCCCACAGTCTTTATCGCCAGCAACATAAGAACATCCGACAAGGCACCCAGCCCATCATCGCTACGGCCCACGAACAAAGACTTGCCTTCCACACTACGTGCGCATCTCCACTACAGCTCGGCGCAACCTGGCAACTCGTTCGAAGACGCCCCCCTTTTGTACGCCGTCCCGTCATGAAGGTCGAGCTTCCACACGCAGCATCGCCCCCGCCTTGAATTCGAGGTGCGCAATTGAGACAACATGTTCTCTTCGGCGTTCAAGTCGATCTCCTCTACCAACATCACCGCAAACTATTCCATCTCCCAAAATTCGACATCCACCGCCGGGCCCTGGAAGATTTACGACTGCAAGAAGAAGTCCACCGGCAAGGCCTACAGCGTTTTTGTCTTCGACAAGAAGTCCCTCGACAGCCATGGCAACTCGCTGAGCCGCAGCAGTGCCAGCGCGTTCAAGCGCACGACCGAGGAGGTTGTCGAGCGTCTGAAGAAGGAGGCCTCGAGTCTTGCCAAACTACGACACCCGAGCGTGCTCGAGCTCGTCGAACCTGTGGAGGAGACGCGAAGTGGAGGCTTGCAGTTCGTGACCGAGGCTGTGACGGCGTCGCTCGCCAGTCTGCTGCAGGACAAGGATGACCAGGAACGGTCAGGCGGGGTTGGTGGCCGCTCGAGCCGATATGTGACGGAGGATTCGGAGGGCGTTCGGAGGCGGCGCGAGCTCGAAATTGATGAGCTTGAGATCCAAAAGGGACTGCTGCAGATCAGCAAGGCACTCGAGTTTCTGCACGACAATGCTGGCTTGGTGCACGGAAACCTGACGCCTGACGCCATCTTGATCAACGCCAAGGTCAGTTACCGCGCACTCCTCCTCCTCCCATAACCTATATCTGCTAGGAACACTGCCTAACAGCTTGAACAGTCGGACTGGAAAATCAGTGGTCTGTCGTTTTGCAGCCCTCAAGAGAACTCAAACAAGCCGACCTCTATCCAGCCCATCAGCTTGGGCGAGATCCTGAACATGGACCCCAGGTTACCTGGCTCCGTGCAGCTAAACCTCGACTACACCTCCCCCGATTTCGTCCTCGACAATAACCTCACAACATCAGCCGATATGTTCTCTCTAGGCCTCCTGTGTGTTGCTCTCTACAACTCGCCCCACCGCTCTCCTCTCGAAGCCCATGCTAGCGTCTCGACATACAAAAGACTGTTCTCCTCCTCATCGACGATTCCGTCTTCATCCAATAAATTCTTGGCATCCAGAAACTTGCCAAAGGACCTGTCGGCTCACGTCTTGCCGCGCCTCATCACTCGACGGCCGGCGCAGCGCATGACGGCCAAGGAGTTCCAGGACAGCGAGTATTTTGACAACATACTGGTCTCCACGATTCGCTTCCTCGATGCTTTCCCCGCCAAGACGCCCAACGAAAAGGCACAGTTTATGCGGGGCTTGAATAAAGTCCTGCCGTCTTTCCCCAAGTCGGTCATGGAGAAGAAGCTGCTGCCGGCGTTGCTCGAGGAGATGAAAGACAAAGAGCTCATCTCTTTGATTCTTCAGAACATCTTCAAAATCATCGAGTTGTTGCCGACGGCAAAGCGTGCTTTCAGCGAAAGTGTTCGGCCGAGGCTGAAGGAGATTTTCGTGTCGACCGGCAAGAAAGAAGCAGAGCCGCCAAAAGATCCAGCCAAGGATGCCGGTCTCATGGTCGTCCTCGAGAACATGCCCGTCATTTCGAGCAATTGCGGCGGCAAGGAGTTCACCGACGGTAAGTGGTGGTTTCTGCGATAGCCGGCTCATTCCCATCAAGTCGCTAACTCGGCCAGATATATTACCCATCATCATGACAGCAATTGAATCAGGGACTCCGGCTGTTGTTGATGCGGCTCTGAGAGGGCTGCCTGCCATCCTCGCGGTGCTCGACTTCAGCACGATCAAGAACGAACTCTTCCCGGTCATTGCCATGGTCTTCAGTAAAACGAACAGCCTGGCCATTAAGGTGCGCGGTTGTCAGGCGTTCGTGGTGCTGTGCGGCGGGTCGAACGATCCGTCGAACGACGGCCTGGGCGACTTCAGCGCCGAGAGAAAGAAGACGACGTCGTCCTCCAGCGCTCTGGACAAGTACACAATGCAGGAGAAGATTGTGCCCCTGATCAAGTCAATCAAAACCAAAGAGCCAGCGGTCATGGTGGCGGCACTCAACGTACTACGTGTGGTGGGCGACACGGCAGACGCGGACTTTGTGGCCATGGAGATCCTGCCTATCCTTTGGAACATGAGCCTGGGCCCGCTGCTCAATTTGAAGCAGTTTCAAGGCTTCATGGATCTCATCAAAACCCTGTCGAGGCGCGTAGAGGACGAGCAGACCAAGAAGCTGCAGGAACTGAACGGCAACGCGAATGGCAGCACCGTCGGAACAGAAGACTTCATGGCCTTTGGCGGCGTGACGGGCACGACTTTTGACAGCAACACCAACGGTGCGTCGGAGAACGACTTTGAACAGCTCGTCAAGGGCAAAGTCACGAGCTCCACCTCGGGCGACTCGTTTGCGAGCTGGGACGATGCCCCCGTGCCGTCGACCATCACGACGTCAGCCCGTCCATCGATGGGGTCTCGATCCAGCACACCCAAGGCTGCCGCCTTTTCGTGGTCGACACCCAGTCCGCCGCAAACGACGACTGCGCCTGGTCAGTTTAACGGCGTCAAGGCGCAAGCGCAACCGACGTTCCGCACTGTGACGCCGGACCTGAGTGGATTCCAGTCGATGACTCCTTCGACGACGCAGTTCTCTCAGCCGATGCAACCCGCCCTGCAGCAGCAGCAACAACAGCAGCAGGGCGCCGCCGCAGCGTCAGTGAACTGGGCGTCGGCGGGCAATTCGGCGACACAGTCCAACCCATGGGCATCGTCGCCGGCCCCCTCGTCGTCAGGCCTCGGGGCCATGAGCGCTTCGATGGGGAGTCTGTCCATGGGTGGCGGCGCGAGGCCGGGCATGGGGTCCTCACAAGGATCATTCTCACTTCCGCCGCCACCGGGTGGTGGCAGCGGCATGATGGGGTCGTCGGGATTCAGTCTCGCGCCGCCGCCGAAGCAGCAGCAGGCTGCCCCGGTGAACCGGTCGGCGAGCGGCATGGGTGGTATGGGCATGGGCGTGATGGGCATGGGCGTGATGGGCATGGGCGTGATGGCTCAGCAGGGGGCGAACTCGATGAACTCGATGAACTCGCTGAACTCTATGAATGCAATGGCAGCGAGGCCCGGCATGGGCATGGGCGTGGGTTCTGGAGCGAGCATGAACAGCATGATGGGAACAGCTCAGCAGCAGCATCAACAACAACAACAACAGCAAACACAGCAACAGCAGGCAAAGCCTGGGTTGGATAAGTACCAGAGCCTGATATGAGGAGCGAAGTCTGTTAGCGCCTGTTGGTTTTGGTTGTTCACTTTTGGTTTGAGGACGTTTTCTCACCGAGTTGATAGACAGCGTTGATAGATTTTGATGTTTGAAAAGCAATGCGATCCAGCTTTTGGAGTCAAGGACCGGGTAACTCTTCTACCTCTTTCTCTCTAATCTCACTCGAACATGACTCAAAATGACACAACACGGATGAGCCGTCCCAAGGGCGCCATGCGTGGCCCATCTATTATTTGCTCCTGTTGGTCAGCACCCAGGACATTGACGGGGACCAGAGCTTGACTTCCACAGCCCAGTCGAGTGTTTCCCCGGAGCCTTTTCAACACATGGGGAGCAGCATGGCTGGCGCCGTACGTCTCGTCAGCTGGCTCGTCCGCTGTATTAGCCGAGGCGGACTGGACCAGAACAATCGATACCAAATGGCACACACGGAAAAACCAGCGGGCGTGTTCTCCTAGTGGCGTGCGGACGGAGGCGCCGGGTCATGATGCCACCACTTCCGGGATTGACGCACGCAGAACACACCCAAGCTTGAACGGCGCACTGCACTCAGTTGTCGCACAGCCATGCACCACCATTCAAAAGGGGCAGAGAAGATGCGCTACACATGTTAGAAACGCGAGCCCGCATCCCCGACGATTTCCGTTCTGCAACGAAAGAAAGGAAAAAAACAGATGTGGTTCCTTTGGGGATGTGTGTGCGTGGCAGTTGATGGGGGAGGGGATTTCCCTCTGGGCTGGAACATGATCCATGTCTGGCAATATCGGACCGGGTGACACGCTCGATAGCAGCACGTTCTGCAGGACCCCAAACCACACCTATCTTGCACAGCTGGCGGTAGCAGGTGACGAAGATGGCGAGTTGTGTCGAGGGGACATCTCATCATGTGCTGTATTTTCATACCGCTCTTCGGCTCATCGCCTGACACCGTGATACTTGGAGGACATGTTCTTTTGCAGGCTCTTGAGTGGAATAGGTATCGATAAATGGAAGTGAGGTGGATGGATTCGCTGACAGGTTCAGCGCAGTGTCATGATGAGACTACCTAACGCAGAGGCCGAAGCCGAAAGTGGATCATCCATACATTATTGTTCGCTCTAGCTTTGATAGTCCATTTTCACCGCCAGACTCTTTTCTTTCTACAGTGAACATCCGCCCTCTCGAAGCAATCATTGCGGGAATAACGTTATCGGTGTCTGACGGAGACGGGCGGTTCCCACCACGCAACAGGGTCATCAATGGCGACAGATGGCGATACTCCAACCCCCCCGGCTCAGGCAGAACACAAGGCCCGGTAATCAATCATACCTTGATGAACCTACCAAAGGTACCTAGGCAAGGTAGGGTGAGTAGGCAATTGTCACAATTTCGACGACGCTCCGGATCAGCCCTCGGCGCCCAGCCCAGGCCCCCTCCAGCCAACCAGTGTCCGGGCGGTGCTCAGGCAAAAGGCGCCAGCTCATGAGCTCATGCAGTCCATCGACGGGAACGGAGGACGATGACAGATCGGGCAACGCCAGCCAAAACGAGGGCGACGTATAAGCGAACCCAACGAGTTTACCCGTTGGACGCATCCCTCATTTGTGCTGACTTGAATCGCATGGGGGAAAAAGGAGCAAAAGAGCGTTATGAGTTGGTACACAGAGTATACGAGTAGCGTAGACGAGGGTCTAATCACGAATGCCCAGACCAGGCGAGTCCGTGTTTGGCCAAGCCCGACACCACACCACACACACACACACAGAGATAGATACTGTCACCATATACTGGTGCATTCCCGACGTAGTGCTTTCTGTCTCTCAAATCATTGGCCCGCTGGCCGATGCACCAGAAAAGAGGGAACCTTGGCTTTCCGTGCCATTTGCGTTTGGCTTTCCACTTGCATTTTTTTTTCGATTTTCATATGCATGGCCCGACGGGGAAAAAAAGACGGAGGATCGACAAGTTGCTTCCTTCGTTCGATTGTTCATTCTGGCTTCCACTGTTGTAGTGACACCAACCCGGGTCATCAGACAAGAGCCCATGTGAGCGAGCAGGACATGCGAGAGAGAGAGAGAGAGAGAGAGAGATACGCATCACATGACAGCCATCCATCCATTGATCGGCATCTCTTGACTTTCCGTTGCGTTTACCTTGTGGCTGAGGCAAGTGGAAATGCCCATACAACTCGGGTCTTGGCCTGGACAAGAAGAACAAGAAGAGGGACGAGGAGGCAAGCCGAGGAGAGCAGAGGAGAGGAGAGCAGAGGAGAGCAGAAGAGAAGTAAAGTAGAGTGAGCCAAAGGTAGAGTTTCTAGCGAGGCCGCTTGGTCTTGCCTTGCCTTGCCTTACCTTGCCTCACCTTGCCTTACACTTTGGTGCTATTCCCTTTTCTTCTGCCCACCCATTCCTACTCTCCTCAACCTAGACCTTTCCACAACTCCCATTTTCCGTCGTCCGACTCGACTCACTTCCTCTCAACACGACGCATCCCTGTTTTTGTTGGTCGTCTTCGCCCCGACTCCGCCTCTCTGTCTCTTTCTCTCTATCCACTCGTACACACACTCTATCTTCCTCTCTATCTTCCTCTCTATCTTCCTCTCTATCTCGCCCTCTCTCTCTCTCTTGCACTCTTGTCACCCTTGCTCCTCGATACCTTGACCTCAACTCTGCACAAGGCCCGGAGTTGCGACGTCTGCCTTTTGCTTGCTTCACCTGGGCACATTCTCCTCCTCGCCCCCCCACACAACCTTGCCAACCCCCCCGGTCAATTCGTCTGCCTATCTCCCGTGCTCTTCCTGTTTGTCCCACCACACACACACATACACACACACACCTCTCGCCATTCCGAATCGCTTCATCTAGTCATCATCACCCTTGCCATCCGTCAATCAACCCCATCCATCCAAAACTCTCGACATATTGTCTCATCAAAGAGACAATCATACATTTTGGGCCTTCCATCGTCGCGTAACTTGTTGTGGAATTTTCAAGTTTCGAGCCTTCTGCGACAAAATCGCCGTCTCGTCAAGACTCTCTCGTCGGCACATTTTGCCACGCATAACAGACTCAACTCTTACACATCATCCCATTATGCGGACAACAGAGAGGGCAAATGGCCAACCTGCCAGTCGGACAGGTACGTGTATTCTTGGCTTTCCTCTCTTTCTGTCTGGTCTTCCCGCCTTTTTTTCCCACTCTTGCTCTTCCTCTCCCTGTTCTTCCCCGTCTGCCTAGTCATGTCTTGTCTCACCCAACCATCGGCGGCGATCCGACCGAACCTGGGCGTTGTGGCCACTGTCGTGTCATTCGTTGCTCATTCACTCATTTGCTCCTATTTCACTGGCTTCTGTGTGCCAGGTTGTATTTCTCATCCTTCTGTTTGTGCACATTGTCGTTTCAGTTGCCTTCTCAAACCGACATTGATGTCCCAGACGCGTTCATGTCGATCCCCGCATCGTCGTCGCTCAAACACCAGACATGGAAAAAAAAACAAGCACATGAACAAATCACTGACCTGACCCAGAATCGCCGGCCAACACAACAATGTATCACAAAAAACCACAGCGCCGAATCGGCAAGCGACGCGTCAAAGGCCCCAAAGGCATGACCGTCAACACGGTTGAGATGGCGACGTCTCGCTCCGGGTCTCTGTCGCGCGCTCAGACAGAAACACCGTCTCGGACGCCCACGCCCACGGAAATCTCCCACGACCTCGGCTTGCGAGAACTCGAAGAACGCGCCAAGGATGTGCGTGAGTCTTGCTGGACACATGACTCTCTCTTTGAAGACGCCGTCGACGGCATCCCCTCAGACACCAAATTCGCCGCTGACGATCCCACCGCCTGCTCGCCAGCCGAGGCCTACCACCTTCGCCAGCTGCTGCGGACCATCGGTCCCCGCGAGTTCTGCCTGCGCACAGTCGATTCTGGTCGGTATACGGCGAAACGCCTGCTCACGGCCTTTAACATCCGTGCCCCGGCTTTTCTCGACGGCGCCCCCGAGGAGGCCTACACGAGCATGCTGACGCTCGCCTTCAGCCGTGAGCTGGCCAAGCGCGCCAAGCTGCCGTCGCACAACTCACTCGACGACGCCGTCGCCCTGCTGACCCGCTCCCGCAACATCATGGTCATTACGGGCGCCGGCATCTCAACATCGCTCGGCATCCCCGACTTCCGTTCCAAGAAGACGGGACTCTACGCCCAGCTGGAGCACATGGGCCTCGCCGTGCACGACCCGCAGGAGGTCTTTGACATTAACGTCTTCCGCGACGACCCCACCATCTTCTACACGGTCGCCAAGGACATCATTGTGAACACGGACCGCTACTCGCCGACGCATGCCTTCATCGCCATGCTGGACCGCATGGGCAAGCTGCTCACCAACTACACGCAAAATATTGACAACGTGGAGGCCCGTGCCGGCATCAACCCGGATCGCATCATCCAGTGCCACGGCTCCTTCGCCACAGCCTCGTGCCTCGAGTGCGGCTACAACTGCCCGGGCGAGGACATCTTCCCCGCCATCCACGCCAAGCAGATCCCGCGGTGCCCCAAGTGCGTCGCCCAGCTGCAGGCCGAGCGCGAGCAACAGCAACAACGCCGCCGCCGCCCGGGACGGCCCCCGAAGCGCGGCAACGCCGCCAAGCGACCCTACGCGCCGCGCCGGCGCTCCGGCCACGACAACCGGTCCGACGACTCGGACATCGACGACGACATCCCCCAGGGCGGCGTCATGAAGCCCGACATCACCTTTTTCGGCGAGGGCCTCCCCGACGCCTTTGGCCGCCGCCTCGCCGGCCACGACCGCGACCGCGTCGACCTCGTCCTCGTCATCGGCACCTCGCTCAAGGTGACGCCCGTATCCGAGATTGTCTCGTGGCTGCCGCCCCACGTGCCCCAGCTCTGCATCTCGCTCGACCCCATCAACCACATCAACTTTGACATTGACCTGCTCGGCCAGTGCGACGTTGTCGTCGCCGAGCTGTGCCGCCGCGCCGGCTGGGACCTGCGCCACGACATGGTGCCCCAGGGCCAGGCCGTCGACGTCCACACCGAGCCCGGCTTCGAGCACCGGCACCGCTTCACCCAGGTCTACCCGGCCGCCAAGAGGTCCGAGTCGCCCGTCGACCTGAAGCGGTCGTCATAGAGCGTCTGAAAGTCGCTCGTCCGCTCTCGTCTTCTTGGCCCCTTTGACAGCTCTGCCGAAGCGCAGCGCGCTCTTCCCAGATCTCTCATGACCATAACTCACAACCGTTTCCTTCCAACAACCTAACCCATCACGACGCAAACGCCTTCCCATCAACCAACAACCAAAGGGGCCGCCCGCACTTTGGTCCTTTTCTCCCTCCAGTTTTTTCTTCTTCAGTTTCTCCTCCCAGCACAGCAAAACGGTGCACGGCGTTCCGGCAGCACTTTTTACCCCCCACCACCAGCAGCAGCAGCGCATGCCAAAAGACTCGGAACGATAGAAAAAAAAGAGGCACCGCTGCCTGTCTGTCTCTTCCTTTGTTTGGTTTCCCCCTCGTTAGACTCGGTGTAGATACCTCTTGTGTTTTGCGTTCCCCCAGCCTCGTGTCTCAAAAGAAGGGGAGGGGGGTGGGCGCTAGTGTTTGATTTTTGTTTTTCCTCTTCTTGTCCGCGTCTATTGCCTGCTTGGTTCCTCCCCATGTTCTCTCTCGTCTTTTCTGTCCCCTGTCTGCTCGCACGCTTCTCAACTTCGTCTCCCTGCTATCTTGACCTCGCTTTTGCGACATGGGAATAGACGAGGCCGGGCGATGATGGAATCATGTCTCCTTCCATACACGCCACGCCCTGCAGGCCCTCCCTCGCTGCGGCAGCACGGCCGAGAAAGGGCAAGAACCGAAAAGAAGTATCGTTCGGACGGGATGGATGGATGGATTGACGTAGCATAATAATACCAAAACACCAAGGAAACATTCAAAAACTCTCACCGCAAGCATCAGTGACGCGTGTCTCACGTTGGAGGTAGTCCTCGAGGACCGAGGAACCGATTGCTCGACGCAGAACACGAAGCGTCACGTCAGCCATGCAATGAGTTCACGTCTTCATCATTGCGCCGGACTGTCTATACGTGCCACTCTGGACGTAAATTATGAATGAAAAACAGAACAAGGGAAGCCGGAAGACCATGCGAGGGGCCAAAGGACCCGAGGTATCGTACAAGTACAGAACAGGGGGCGTCGCCGCGTCCCGTCTCAACGCCATAATGCAGTCGGGCATCGGCCCGAGGATGAAAGAAAATAAAAAAATACACTCTAATGCTGTGCGCCGCCCGTGCTGCTGCTCGTCGACTCCGTCTGTCCCTTCGCTGCCGCTGGGCATTCCACTTCGTGCCCCTCCTCCTGAATGCTGACGTGTCCCGACGTCGAGTTCTGCCGCGAGATGCCCTCTCTGCTCTCGCCCGCCAGGCCCGCGTCCGAGCGGTTCCTCCTGGGGTCGTTGGGCGTCCAGTTGGCTGCCACACCGGCGGCAATGAGGCCAGCCATGACAGTCGGCGCGCCGAGCGCCGAGTTGGACCTGCTACGGTTGCTTCGCGAGCGCCTACGTGACTCGGGCGTCGGTGCCGGGGGTGCCTCGCTGATGCTGGCCTGTCGGGGTGGCGTGGCGGGCGGCGCCGGGTTGATGACCGAGTTGGACCGCGAGTGCGTTGGGCTTCTCGAGTACGTCACAAACGTCTCGCGAGGGTGCTGAACCGCAAACTTGAGGTTGTTCAAGCGTCCGCCCTTCATACGCTTGAGGAACGTCAGTTCGTCCCGCACGTCCGCCAGCGCGTCTGGGTACTGGCCAAACTCCTCGTCGTCCACCGTGAGCTTGGGCCCGCTCTCCTTGGACTTGCGTTTGAGGTAGTCCGGGATGAGGCGCTCGACAAACTCGTCGGGGATGAGACGGATGACGATACCGAAGGGAATGGAGAGGAACCCGAGGACAATGGCGATGCCCCACATCAGGGCCGTCTGCTTATCAGGAGCAATTGACAAAGCAGCACCACCCACAAAGATGATCAAAATCTGTCCGCCGATCATAATCGAGCTGATAGCAACGAAAAAGTAATTTTGCGTAAGACCTTCAAAGATGTTGAAGCGATTATCGAGGCGGCGGTTGCTGGAGGCGGTTAGTCAACTCGATATCAGGATACATGGGGTTTGATCGACTACTTACTTCCACTGGTTGAAGATTTGCATCCACACAAACGTGTTGAACACGAGAGTGCGGACCTGAGCTTCAAACCTCTCTGGAGACAGGTTCATCTCATTCTTCACAAGGTCCAGATGATCGTAGCCGTAGAAGAGCATGAATGTTATGGCGAGCTGGTAGATAGCTTGGCCGATGATCATTTTCCACATCGTCGTAGAGATGATCGAGGCGTTGCGTCTCTCGGGCTTCCTCAAGAGAACGCTCCTCTGAGGCGGGTCCGTGGCCAAGGCGAGAGCAGCGAGAGTGTCCATGATGAGATTGACCCACAGCAGCTGCACCGCTGTGAGGACCGATACAGCACCCTCGCCTCCGTTGCTGGAGACAGACGTAACGAATGTGAGCACGACGGCAGTAATGTTGACCGTGAGCTGGAACTGGAGGAAACGTTTCACCGCGTCGTTGACCGCACGTCCCCACATGAGAGCCTTGACAATCGAGTTGAAGTTGTCATCCATGAGAATGATTGCGGAAGCCTCCTTGGCCACTTCGGTGCCCGCGATGCCCATGGAGAAGCCGACATCTGCTGTCTTGAGAGCTGGCGCATCGTTCGTACCATCACCTGTGACGGCGACAATCTCGCCCTGTTCTTTCAGGCGCTTAACCAGGACGCGCTTGTCCTCGGGGCTTGAACGAGCGAGAACGTGTAGTCGAGGCAGAATCTCCATTTGTTCGTACTTGGTCAGGTTGCGGAATTCAGGTCCCTCCATCACAACACTGTGGGGCTGCAGAATGCCGCACTCCTTGGCGATGGCCTGAGCAGTGATCTTGTTGTCTCCGGTAACCATGCGGACGCAGACACCAGCGCCCTGGCACGTGCGGACAGCCTCGGGGACGCCTTCACGTAGAGGGTCCTGAATGCCTACCATGCCGACGAAGACCATGTTCCGGAATAGGTCCTCAAAATGAATCTCGTTCTTGTCGGCGTCACCGCGACGGGCGGTTCGCGGGGGCCATTGGGGAAAGTCTTTGTACGCAAGGCCAATCGTACGAAGGGAGCGCGAGGCGTAGCTCTCAATGAGACCGTTCACCATCTTGTGGTTGTCGACAGTCATGGACACAAGCGAGGCATCGGTCGACGGTTGTCCGAAAAGCTCGCTGCACTGGGCGACGACAATCTCGGAGGCACCCTTGACAAACAGTCGAGCGCCACCACTCGGGAGTTGGATAACAATGCCCATGCATTTGCGGCCGGAGTCAAAGGGAATCAGCTGAAGGGTGTGAGCGTTGGCGCGCTCCTCGCTGACCGGGCCCATGCCGAGGTGAGCCTGGGCCAGCAGGAGCAGGGCACTTTCCGTCTTGGAACCGATGAATGTCTTCTCGCCATCGACCTCGCCCTCAAAGGCAGTCGAGTTCAGGACGATCGACTTGAGAAGGATATCCTTGACCTCGGGTCCCAGCATCTTGACGAATTCGGGAATCTGGATGTCACCGCCCTGCTCGACGGCAGAGCTGCCGAGAGCACTCCCTGAGCTTCCAGGGCGCTGGGCCCCGAACTGATGCGTAGTCCCGATCGTGCCAGCCACCACCTGCATCTTGTTTTGGGTCAGCGTTCCAGTCTTGTCGGAGCAGATGTTCGTCGCGTTGCCCATGACTTCGCATGCCTTGAGATGCCTGACGAGGTTGTTGTCTTTCAACATTCGTCTCGTCGCGAATGCCAGGGCAAGTGTGACGGCGAGAGGCAGTCCCTCGGGAACAGCGACGACAATGATGGTGACGACAACGATGAAGATTTCGAGGAACATTTGACCCTTGTCAGCCGGGGTGACGTCGCTGTCGAGACGGGGCAGCCGCACAAGGAACCGAATGAAAAGGACGATGAACAGGAGCAGACCGGCGGCACCTCCAAGCTTGGCGATGTACTCGGCGATGATGTTCAGTTTGGACTGAAGCGGTGTGACTTCGGGATCCTCGTTGAGTGCCATGAGCGTCTGGCCGTAGGTAGAGTTCACACCAGTCGAGGTGACCATGAAGGTGCCAACACCTTCCATGACACGCGCGCCAGAGAGGATGAAGGGGTCCATCTTCTTGACATCTTCGTGGTTCTCAATAGCGGCAAATACGTCAGCCGCCGCCTTCTTCTTGATGATGTCGGACTCTCCCGTCGCCTGAGATTCGTCGCATTTGACATTGAAGCCCTCAATGAGCAGGCCATCGACTGGAACCAAGTCACCTGGTTCCAGGTGAACGACGTCGCCCACCAAAATGTCGTATACGGAGATCTCCATAATCTTTCCGGAACGAACAACCTTGACATCGCGGTCTTGCTTCTTCTTGTTGAGCTTGGCAAACTGTCGCTCCTTGGAATAGTCGTTCAAGGACCCAACAACAACAACGATGACAATGGCCGCCACAATGGCGACGCCCTCCACCCACTCCACCCTGGACTCGCCCTCTTTGTGTTCACCACCCACCGATTGGTAAATGCCAATGGCGAGGGAGACGACAGCAGCAGCAGTCAGAAGCATCAGGACCTTGTCTTGGTATGTGATCCACATGAGCTGCAAGAGACTCTTGCCCTTCTTCTCCGGAAGGCGGTTGTCCTTGAAAACTCGCTTCCTGTCGACAAAGCTGCCGTCCCCGCCCGCTGCGGGATGAGGACGCGCAGGGGCCGCAGAATCATCTTCCTTGTGACGGCCATCTGACTTGAGTGCCAGGTGGCTCGTGGCCTGCTCATACGTGACGTGCTGAGGGACGTTGTTCTCTTCGATACTGAGACCTGCTTTCCGATCGCTCTGGACACCCTTTTCGAGGCCGGCCAAGCCTCCGATTTGGTAGAAGGCGGCCAGGCTCTTGGGGTTGAGAAGCTTATTCAGTTGACCAGGACTGAACGCAAAGGGGTTGTTGTCGACTTGAAAATCGCCCTCCTTCCCTTGGTCTGGCTGCAGCGCCGTGTCGTCCTTCATCAGCTTGTCGTTGGAGAGGTGGTGGCTGTGGAAGCCAGTCTTTTCGGCGTTCGAGCCCGACACGGCGAGAGTATCGCCTTGCGAGGAGACGAAAGACCGAGAGGTCTCCACGTCGTCGTCGACCGAGTTTTGTCGTGAACGGGCGGTCGTCGGCACGGAGAGGAAAGCGCGATCGTTGCCTCTGGCAGTGATGGGGCTCGAAACGTTGTGTGGGCTCCGGGGCCGGCTATCTCTGCTGTCGAAGGAGGTCTCGGCACGGAGCTCGGGGCGGGCATAGGGGTCCTGGGCGGCGAGCATGTTCTGCGAAGCGATCCATTGCGCAGCGGCCGGGTCGACAACGGTGGAAGGACTGATAGCATCTTCTTGAAGGGAGGTGGGACTGGCACCGAGATTCGCTCGCGCGTCGTGAGGCACATCGGGAGTCGAGGCCGCGGCCGTGGTGTCAATGGTAATTGTTGGTCTGTACACCCGTTAATAGGCTAGCACTACGTACGGCGTGGCGGCCACAGCTGAGGGTTGACAAGTCTCTTGTCACACATACGCGCGAGGTCTGCGCTGAGCAGGAGCAGGGTCGTCCTGCGCGTCGCGATTGGGGTCCATGATGGCGGTGTGTCCGTGTTGGACGAGGGCGAGGCGTGCGCTGTGGCGCGCTGGGATCGAGTTTGAAGAGGAGCAATACAAAATATATCGGAGAAGTAAAAGTAAAGAATGCTGTTGTGAGGTTCAGAAGGGCGTGGAGCGAGGCAGCGAGAGGTGCTCGAGTCCCATGAAGGATGGTGAATGAGGGTCCGCAGAAGGCGGCGAGCGTCATGCACGGCACCAAGCTGCTTCTGCTCTGCTATTATGATTGTGAGAAGGAGTGTGATGAAGTGAAGTAAAGTAGAGTGAAGCGGTGCAGGGTGCTTGTCGGAGGCAGACGCGCACAAACACTGATCAGGCCAGCAGGGGGCGGCGGGGCCAAGGGAGGGGGTTTATGGATTAGATGTCGAAAGGAGAAAGCAGCAGAAGGAGAAAAGCATGACATTGAACACAGATGACGAGAATAGCAAGCAGCGGAAGTTTGCTTCCTGCGACATGCATTATTTTGCCTCTGCCTTCGCTACCTTTTAGGTACCCTGCTCGGTAGGTGACCTTGAGGTAAGGTGCGTGGCTACCTGGACCTTGCCTTCTGGAGATACCTACCCAGGTAGGTACTTACGCCCATGTACCACGCCTGACCACGTACATATACCATGTACACCCCCAAGTTACCCACCCACCTAGGTAGGCACCTACCTACTACATGTTCCCTTAGATACGGCGAGCTTTGAGGCTCCTTGGGCACGTCTCCCCCAGTGAGGCAGTGCAACCGCCGAGGCAGGGTCTCTCACTGGCCACGGCTCTCGCAAACGGGGGCAAATGGGGGCCACCCGAGGGAAGGGCTAGGGAAGATTCGAGGAAGGCGCCAGGGGCCCCAGGGGTACGGCAGGAGCTGATGGCACCTCGGCCGTGGAGGCTAGCACTGTTGGGGCGTAGTGGCCGCAGGGGCCTCGGTGCTTGACATATGCAGGGGCGCGGGTAGATCGCTATTCGGCCACTGACTTCTACACCCGGAGCCCTACCTGCCTATGCCGGACCTGGTAGGTAGGTACCTAGGTAGGTACCTACCTGCCTAGGTAGATGGTAGGTACACAAACGCCTATCGGTTGAGGTACCCAGGCAGGTAAAGCCAAAGGACCTTCTCCAGCGCTGCCTCTTATTTCCCCCTTCGTCGCCCGCCAGTCTCACATCACAACCACCCTGCTCACGACATCAGTGATCAGTGTCGTCAAGCACCGGGCGGGGCATACCATGACACGACAAGACAAAGACAAAGACAAAGAGATGAAAGCACAACATCGAGCAGTATCATGCCAATCGCCAGTTGTCCCAGCTACGCGCCGTATCCACTCCTCTTTCTGACCTTCTCGAGAGGTACCCCGGAATGCGACTGTGGGCGGACGGGGCGAGCATGCGCTCCGTCTGCTGCTGTTGGTCCTTGGTGCCTCGTGTTCCCGCATGGCTACCGCAGTTTGTTGTGTCGGTATAAGCCTTTCTTTCACCTTGGTATCCAATGAGCGAGCCACCAGGGGGGGGGGGAGAGTGCTACGCAAAATGCTCCCAACAAGCAAACACGGCGCCCTGTGAAGGTTCGACTTACTGGGTTGGCTCAGCCTGATCAGATCAACAATGACATGGCTTGCTCGCTTTTATTTTTCAGCCGTCTTGGTTTGCATCAGATGGCCAAGCTTCCTCCCTCCCTCTCTCCCTCCCTTCGTCTCATTACAATCGCTTTGTTGACAATATCTCCAGGGCCGACAAGTCTCCACCCCGTCTAGAAACAACCAGGCCCAGCGAACTTGGACGAACATTGGCCAACCAAGCCGACAAGGGACGCTCAACTCGTTTCTTGGCATGATCTCCGTGCCATGCCAAGCTCCACCCCTGGCCCATTCCCCCCGAGCACTGCAAAATTTACCGCGGCAGAGAAGGGGGTGAGCGGCTGTTCGGAACTGCCAATTTGACACCAAGATTGGTCAATGGGCATGTGTCTATTCCTCAGGAGGCCCTGGGAGGACCGACGTGAGCTGTCATCAGTCAGGCGTGAAAAAGAAGCAAACCGCGAATACAGCTCCCATCATGTTTGCTGAGAGCCCCTTCGGACGTAAACTGCCCGGCACACAAAGAAAAGACGGAGCGAAACAAGACAAGTGCCACACTCCCTTTTAGCCCCAAAGTCGGGCGCTTCACACCAAGCGCCTCAAACCGCCCGACTCTGGCGCCTGAGCCACTCGCCCTGTCCAAGGGTGACAGGTTGTTTGGTACGAAACGGGACCTTGTCTTCAGTACGGCAAAGCTTCGATGAGTCTGTGCCTCCCAGCGTTATTCCCGCCCGTCTCATTCTGTCGGATCTGCACTGCATTTTGCCTATCCGCACTTTTATCCTCGTTTGGGGTTGCCTTCTTGCGAAACCGGCTGAGCTCTTGGCTCGGTTTGGGTTGCCTCAGTGGGTTGCATCTGTCGTGATATCAATCGTGTTGTCCATCAGCGCATCCTTGGGACGTGTGTGTCGCATTGTAGATTTAGTCTCGGAGGCTGAGTAGCTTGACGAAACTCTACGTGCGCCGTGCCGTGCAAGACACGATCCGAATGGTGTTCATCGGTATCAGGAGCGTACAAGTTTGTGATGCAAACCGCAGATCAACTACATAGCCCGTCTGAAATGAGTGACAACCCCGTGGCATGTTTCTAGCCTTGGAGTTTGGTCCGACAAAGTTGACAACCACGGGGCGAGGTGATCCCAATCGGAACGTTATCATGCGCAACATGCAGAGTGCGCCTCGGGGCTTCGTTGGTGCTGGGGTGCTTCCAGTCTGGTACCGATCCTCGTATGCCAAAGGCCGCCCTATGCCCATGAGCTTGATTCGCGCATAAGGCAAGGGAGAAGCTTGGCTAGGTACTTTCATGACATCCGATATCTCATAGGGTCTGTTATTTTCTGGTCTCGAACTGTCGTTATGTCATGAGCACCCGGAATTGAGGAGGTATGGATGCTTTCGATCGATCGAGTATCGAAGGCTGATCTCGGGCATTGACGTTGGCCTTACTACAATCGAAGAACATTCAACACTCTCGGGCTGATAGAGCGCTGCTAGTTGTATCAAGTTATCCAGTGGCCCGCACAGTTAGGTGACTTCGATGGGGCCATCGGCGGGATAGGATAGACACAGCCCCATTCAATGACCATATTCAGAACTACAAGCGCACCATATTATGCTCTTGTCAGGAGGCTGTCGACGTTGTCAGCCGCGCAAGACCGTCAGTTACATATCCACAAGCCAAGCTACTCCATGTGAGTTCACGAACCGTCATGCGGGGTGCTTTACCACACTCAGTCACAAGACATGATCCAACGTGACGGTCGACAGAATCGCACGCGAGTGATGCGAGCTGTGACACGGGAGCATGAATACACCAGTCTGAGGCATTACCGTCTAACCCTGACGTGCGAACCTCACCCGAGAATACAAAACTTTTTACCCCTTAGTTGACCATTTAATAACCCGGAACACCATCGAAAACCCTTGTCCCACGAGGACACACGCACCGGAGACCGAACGGGCAGAGGATCACCTCCGGCCCAGATCAATCTCCCTTACAAGTTCCATCGTGCCCTCACCCTCGCCGGCGGCGGGGGTCTCGACGCCGAAGAACCCCGCCACAGCCGTCCGCACAACACCCCGCCAGAAGCCAGCCACAACCTGCCCCGTCCGGCCGTCGCCGCTCTGCTTAAAGTCCGGGAAGGCGTTGACCTCGAGCAGCCAGGCGTCGCCCGCGGCATCGACGAGGAAGTCGAGCCCGTACACCTCGAACGCGCCGGGCAGCGGCTGAAAGTGCACCGTCATGCCGCGCGCCGCGCCCTCGAAGACGTCGCCCGTCAGCGCGCCAATCTTGTCCCGCACGCGCCGCTCGACCGCGGGCGCGAGCCCCAGGGCCGCGAGCCGGCGCACCGTCGGCGTCGTCGTCGTCGTTGGCGTCGTGGCGGCTTCGCTGCCGGCCGCCGTCTGGAGGCACGTGTTGGTGAGGTGGGCGTCGAGGTTCTCGGGCGCCGTCCACGGCGGCGCGTACGGCGCGCCCGCGAAGAGCGCGAGCATGTCGCTGTAGACGTACACGGACAGGCAGCCGACGGCCAGCACGTACGTGCGGATGTGGAACTTGCGGCTGTCCGTGTCGAGGAGCAGCGGCGGGTGGATGTACGGCTGGGCGACAAAGTGGCGCAGGTGCGATGTCGTGATGTAGTCACCGCTGCCGTCGCGGGCGCCGCCGGCGGCTTCTCCCCCTTCTCCGTCTCCGTCTTCGTCTCCGTCTTCGCCGGCATCGCTGTCGGGCCTGTCGGCCTCCCATCCGTCAAAGATGGCCTGCAGCTCGTCCTGCGTGCTGAAGAGCCGAATGCCCTGGCCGCGGTCGCTCATGCCGGGCTTCAGGATCCACCAGTCCCGCTGCGCCGGGTCGTCCTTTTCTTCGTTCCGCTCGAGGCTCTCGCGCAGGTCAAAGGCCTCGACGAGGGCGTCGTCGAGAAACTCGGCGTAGTCGAGCTCAAAGTGCTCGCTGCGCTTGACGCCCGTGGCCAGCGACGAGGACGGGTGTTTGGCGGACCACGTCTCCACCGTCGCGGACAGGTAGTGCTTCCGGATGAGAGCCTTGCGGATCATGTAGCTGTTGATGAGCACGGTGGACGAGTGGTCGGCGGCGTACGCAAAGTCAAGCGTCTCGTAGGGTGCAATCTGCACGAGTTTGGCCGTCGGCGAGGGGACAATGTTCGCCAGCGACAGGACTTCGTCGGCTGACGAGGATGGCGAGTGGGGCAGCAGCTCCCAGGATCCCTCGGGCAGGAGTGAGTTCATGGCGTCCAGAATCAGGGGCTGGACGTATTCGTCGCCGTAATCGACAACGGCGTAGCACGTGGCCGTCTCTGCCTGTTCCGGCTTCTGGGCCGCGGCGGGCCTCAGGGGTAGTTGCTGGCTGCTCGTCTTGGCCTCCTCCTCCCGGGACGGCGAACTAGTAAACACAAGCGTAAGACTTTGCTCTATTATATGGGTTCTGCCGGTTTCTGCGTAGAATACAGGCAAGCAAGCGTTGCTTGGTGGGGTGGGGGATTTTGTCCTCGCTCGGCCACAGTCATGTCCGTCTGTTGCTCGTCGACCCCGAACCCGGCGCTAGAGCTGACCCTCCGTATATCTCGCATCTCCAGGTGCCCGCGCCCTGCTCAAGAGAAAGAAAAAGGGGGGTCAAAAAAGCAAGGCGTATGTACTCACAGAACCAGCTCTTTCTCATGCAGATGCTCCGCGGCGTGCCAGAAGTTTGCCTTCAAGGCCGTGACGCTGTGACTGTCAGTGGAAGATCCCGAAGAAGAAGAGAAGAAGGAGTCAAAAATAAAAAGAAAAAAAAAACATAAAGGGGAAATTGCAGACGAGAGTTTTCTCACCTTGTGTATCCCTTCTCGACAGCCCAGCCATCGTTGCCAGGCGGCGCATCCTCGACGCTCTTGTAGACGCCGGCAAAGGACGGCGCCCACTTGAAGTGCCTCTGTCTGTGCTTCTTGTGCAGCAGCTCGTCCGCTTTCCTCTCGCCGCCCTGGACCTCGCCGCCCTGCCCCTCGCGTATCCTCTCCTCCTCGACAACCTCGTCGGCGGCGTCGCCGTCGAGCTCCTGGAAGCAGCCGGCGTCGTGCCAGTAGTTCTGCAGCACGCCGGTCCACAGCGTCTTGTGGGTCTCGACGCCCTCGACGAGCGGCACGTTGACGCTGTAGAGGTCGACGCTGGCGTCGGCGGGCCAGTCGGCGTACAGCTTCTCAATGACGCGGACGCCGTGGCGCGCGGCGCCGCCAATGATGACGGGGTCGTGGTTCCGCGAGAAGAAGGCGTAGCTCAGGGCGATGGCCTTCTTGCCGCAGATGGCGCCCTCCATGGCGCCGCCGAGGGTGCCGCTCGACAGGGCAAAGACGGCCGTCGTGTTGCGGCCGTAGTTGGGCCCGCTGACGACGAGGTCGACGGGGCCGCGCTCGGCGAAGAAGTGGTGCAGGCCGATCTGGACGCACGAGGCCGGCGTGCCGTCGACGAGGACCCATTCCTTGTCGGCGTCAAAGGTGCCGGGCGTCGCGGGGTCCGACGTCGTGGGCCGCGTGTGGATGGTGCCCTCGGCGTCATCGCCGTACAGGTTCGGAGACGGCGTGTAGTAGACGGGCTTGACGGACTGGCCGATGATGTGGGCCTTGCCGATCCAGGAGCGCTGCGTGTGAGGGAGGCAGACCGAGACGGTGTGGCCCGCCTTCTTGAGCTCGGCAACGAGGGAGGCGACGTAGGGGGACGAATGTGGCGAGGGGGGACCGTCGTCGTTGGTCACGAGGATATGCATGGTGTCTTGTCTTGTGTCTACCGATGCAGAAACTTAAAATTTGAAATGCCCGAGACAGCCAGCGAGAAGGAGATGAGATGAGGAGTGATGGAGGTGACGTGAGGGTAAGACCGAGAGAGGAGGGGTCGTGAAGAAGATGGTGGCGGTTGAGCGTTGTGGGTCGAGCGAAGTGGGATGCAATAGTGGGGTTCGTTGATGCTCATCGACGCCCAATCCACGCCATTACGCTATTGCCTCGGAACGGACCGGCCTACTACATGTACATTCTCTTGGTCTCTTTCTCTTCCTTGGTTCTCTTCCTTGGGAAAAGATGTGTTGCGTGTTCGCCGTTGCCTGTTGGTCATCGAATGGTCCGGTATTGTGACAGCTGTTTGTTCCATGACACAACACGCAAAACATCACGGAACGGATGGCTAAACAAATTGGTACAAGCAAGTCGTATTGAGGGGGAATCATTCTGTCATGCCTTGCCCTGACCTGACACCGCGAGCCTGCTGCCAACCTACCTACCTGAGGAAGAAAAAAATAAAGTTGCTACCTACGGGGTTTTGTTCCCCTCCGTCGAAACCCATTCCCATATCTGACATGACTGGCAACAGGGCGTAATTACACTTCGCTCCTTTTCTCCCTTGATGCTATGCCTCGAGCGGGCCACAGCGGATATCCGTTACCAGTCATCATGTGAAAACAGAAAGAAGAAAACGAAAAAAAAAACCAAAAGGCCGAAACAGGGCCCCGCAAACCAAATGCGTCATGTAGAGAAGTGTACACAAAAACCTCGGACACCAGCGCTGTCTGCTCTTCCGGCCAACGGAAAGAAAGAGAGGTAACATAGACAGCCAGTCATGTCCAGTCAGGTGAATCATCATCGTGATTCGCCATGTGTCGAGGAAACAGAAGATGACCGAAGCGAAGTAGAACAAGGCCAGAGAACCACAGAGAACAAATCAGAGCCCCAGATACAGCTAGGACCTGGTGCGTTTGGGTGTGGCTGCGTTGAGCTCGTCGCTGGCAGGCCTCTTTGTCGTACGCTCTGTGCTGTCAGGTCGGCTCTTGACACGACGCCAATCTTCGAAGAGCGTGCGGCCCGTCTTTGCTCTGGAGGGTGTCGCATCTTCGCTCTTGGAGAGGAAGCGAGTGGTGCGGCGCGTCCCAGGAGGCGTGGCAGCGGGGCCGAATCGGGGTGCCGCAGGAGTGGCGGGGCAGGACTCTTCGGCAGCTGGCGTCTCGGGCGTCTCCTCGACCTTGTCCTCCTCATCCATGTGATGATCCTCAATGTCAGTGAGCGCTTCCTCATCCTCGGGGGTAACGAGAATCTCGGGAGGCTCAGCGCGCTGGAACAGGCGGCGGGGCTTGATGGATGAACGAGTGAGGGGGCGGCCGAGATGAGCCTCCAGTGCCGCCTCCTCGTCAAGGCCGTCGTCGTTATCGGCGAACTTGCGGAACACCTTCTTGCCACGGCTGATTTCACAGTCAGCTACCAAGCTCACAGGGAAGGAACGAACGAAGGAGTACTCACAAGACATAGACCATTCCGTCCTCACGCTGAAGAGCCTCATCCACGTGCTGAGCGCCTTCTCCAGGTACGGTCACCTTGCGCTTGCTCCGGCGAAGGCGCGGCTCGGGCTGCGCCTCCGTGTGGGAGCCGTAGAAGGGGTTCTCGACGCTGTTGTCGACCTCAGGCACGCGGTCGTGCGAGTCGGTGAAGATCTGGATATCGTCTTGCACAGCCTCGGCGGTGAAGCTCTCCAGAGACATGCCCGTGTACTTCTTAGGTGTACGCTTCTTGCGGGGTGTCGTCAGAGCGTCCTCGTCAACAAACAGATTGCGGGCCACAGCCTCGATACTCGCGGCCTGCGTCTCAGTCGGCGCCTTCCTAGGCGTCTTCACAGGCGTGGGCAGCATGCCGGAGCGGCGGTGAAAGGCTGCCGTTCGCGATTCGTCCTGCTCCTCCTTGTCTTGGCCGAGGGTCTGAGCAACGCTCCTTGACGATGACGCGCGGTGCACGGCATCGAGAGCAGGAAGGCGCCTTTTCTGAGGCGAAAAGGCGGGCGACATGATGGCTGTCGCGGCAACGGCGGATTTCCTGGTCGTGCGAGGTGTGCGGTGAGATGAAGAGGGAGAGGGCGTTCGGTGGGTTGCGCGCTGCGAAGAGATGCGAGCTGACTTGCGCGGCGAGTAGGGCTCCCAGTGGTCGCTGTAGCCGTGCTTGGGTGTGGGAGGAGTGCGGATGCCTGATGGCTGGGGTGAAGGTGTCGAGGTTGCAAAGGTCGCCATGGCTGCGGCGTTGACTAGCCTTGGAAGGCAGTCGCGGATGAATGGGCTATTGTTGTTCCTTTGTGGGCGCCGATGGTGAGCCTTCCTTCCTCGTCAGGTGCGCTGTGTGTGCAATGTCCAAGTGGGAGTGCGTTCGATGTCGGTTTTGGTCTCCGGTCACAGTTGTGGATGACCTCCGAGTTTTCCAAGGGATGGCCGTCGGCGGGGATCCACGAGCCGCTTCGAGTGGAATCGGTGAGCGCGTATGGGACGCTGATGGATGCAGAACGAACACCAGATGACTATCGATATTGAGAATCCGAGGTATCGAACACGATGAGCGCAAAGCGGTGGAAATTGAAACTTGTCGGTGTTGTCGAGCGATGTTGAGGGGACAATGATGTTGGTCTGGGTTGTTGCTGGGTGGTTACGAGGTGGGTTGTGGGAATGGAATGCAGGATTGGACGAGCGGAACAACATGGCGCCAGGGGACGTGAGCGGGACTTTGACATTGATGGGTGCAGACACACAGACGTGGACAGATGCGGTGGCTGGTGGATACTCCCAGCCTCCCCCATTAACTCATTAACCAGCCCCATTTCTCATTAAAACCTAAGCGGGTCCACCCTGCCACCGCGTCGATGCGTGTCATTTTCGCGTTTGGGCTGCAGTGGCCCGTGCGCACACCTCCACCAGTGTGCGACCCCTCACTAGCCATCCCACCTTCAAACCCCTGACAGTCAGTAATCGGTACGGTGTCGCAACAAAACAAACAGAACGTCACTGCCTTCCCTGAGACGAGGTATCTCGGAACTTTGGTCATCGTCCTCGACAATCCTGCCATTTTCCGGCTGGCCGTCCACACCTGAGTGAGCGAAACTATCCTGCGTTCGAGGACACCATGTCAGACCCGCTTGACGATTCGACAACCGACATCTGGGCGTCCCCGGACCAGAACGAGCCCGCCGAGCGACCCAAGACCCCCAGGACGCCCAAGACACCCAAAACGCCAGTGCTCAGGACACCTGCCAACCAAGACACCGACGAATACGACCGAGACGCTGTCTTGCGCAAAGAATTGGAGGGCGTGCGCACCATCAACGCCTCGATCGAGGGCATCATAAGCACGCTCGAGAAGGCCAAGAGCAACATGGGTGTATGTGGCCCCGACTGTCAAGTCAGAAAGATGATGGAGCTGACGTTCTTCTCTTCACCCCTCTCCAGACCGTTTCCAACACCGTCGGCAACGCATCAACGCTCCTCAACACCTGGACTCGCATCCTATCACAGACCGAGCACAACCAGCGCCTCATCCTCAACCCCCAATGGCGCGGCGCAACACAGGACATGCAGGAGATGGAAGCCGAGGCGCTTCAGAGGCAGCAGGCGGCCGAACGCAAGGCGGCCGAAGACGAGCGCAGGAGAGAAGCCGCCCGTCGCAAGCGCGAGGAGGAAGAGGCCGAACGCACGAGGCCGACGATTGGCAGGACACCCAGCGTGCGAGGTCGCGGTACAGCACGGGTCAGGTCTCGCGGCACGCGTGGCGCCATGCACACCCGCGGCTCCAGTATCTCGGGAACCACAGGGAGCAGGATCGGCAGGGGCGCCTCAAGCACAAGTACGCGGGCCGGATCCCGCGGACGGGGCACCACGTAGCGCGCTGTGAGAGTAGAGGAAGGCAAGGGGGCTGCTGGGCTTTGCGCATTGTGTGTGATTTTGTACGGGATACCCCAAAAGAATCTGTTTCTTCCTGCAGTCCTACTTTTTCTTGAAGAAGTCGCTCATCTTCTTCATGCCCACTGTGTTGACTTTTTGGAGGTTTTTGACCCCCCGGCTCTGGTTGGCCTTCATCTTCTTCTCGTCTTCCAGCTTCCTCCTCTTTTCAGCACGCGCTTCTTCCTCCTCCTCATCCATGTGTCGCTTGCGGGAGTAGTTTGACGTCGACATGGATGCAGCGGCCTCGATGCGTAGTCGTGTGAGCTCTTCGAGGTAGGCATTCAGGGGCGCAAAATTCACCCCTGAAACCTCGGGGTCCAGCAGATGCGTCTGAAGACGATTTGTGATGGCTGGAGTGGCGTAGCTGGCGCAGATGAAATCCAGCGCAACCCTGAGCTTCTGTAACGCGACCACAGCCTCGGGGGCTTTCGCCGTGCTCAACACAGCGTCCTCGGTCGCTTCTTCGTTGACGGAAGTGGCCGTAGTGGAGGCCTCCGACACAAAGGATGCCGAGGTCTCGAGAGTCGTCGCAGAGGCTTGAGATTCTGCAGACTCGGTGCGCGGTGTGGAATGGCCCGGCGTCGAGACGTCATCGGATGCTGGCTTCGTCTCGACCTTGGCGGCATCGCTCTTTTGCAGTGAGAGTGGGGCCTCGAGCGGCTTCTTGACAAACCTCTCCTCCATGCTGGGAGGAAGCGCTGCGCCCATAGCCTTTGCCTTGCTGATCATGGTATCCGCAAACTTCTTGTCGCTCACGCGGAACATCTTCTCGTCTCCGGCATCTACGGAGTCGCAAATAACGGCCATCCTGGCCTGAAAGTGTGATCTTGTCTTCGGACACCTGAGAACTTCAGACAGGTGCGAAGACGAATCGGAGATGGCGTCGAAATGGTCATCGCTGGTCAGAAACAAGCGCTTCGCATCATCCTTTGTTGTCGCAGGGCCGAAAAGAGCTGGGAGCATGAGAAACAAGGGATCAAAGGCTGTCGCGATGAAAAGGTCGGCGCCATTGGTGATTTGGGCTTGCCACTGAGAGCTGCTAGCGTCTGGGGTTCCGTTTTCGAGATCACCAGGTTTTGCCTCGATGAGCCAGCTTCGCGGTGTGGTTTTCGGAGCCGCAATTTTTGTGAACTCATAGATTCCCGTCTCCGGACAGACGAGATATCGACTAGGTTTTGCGTGTCGTGGATGCAGTAGGGAGACGATTCGCGCTGCCTTGGTAGCCTTTGTCGGAAGTATGAACACCTTGGGCGGGTTTGCCGCTTCTTCGGGTAGAGAATACAGGGTTTTTGGCGCTGAGGCCTCGCTGGTGTCGGGCTTTGCGCTTGGAGCCGCCTTTGTTGCTCTCGTTCTCGCCATTGTTGCAATCTATTTGTGAGGTTGTCCTCTTGCGAGTCTGTTGACCGTCGGAGGGAAGTTGAAGAGTATCGAGCAGGATTAATATAGCATCGCAAGTCAAGAAAAGAAGGGAACGATTGGAGAGCTGGAGACAACGTCAAGAAAGGTATGCACAACAACGGGCCACTGGGTTGAGCTTGGACAAAGTGTTGCAGGTATACGCTGTGCTTCACTCGGCGCGTTACTGGCTATGAGACGCGTTAATGGGTGCCAAGTGGGACGCGTCCCTAAGGCCGAAGACGCGCAGAATATGGACCCCGTTACAGCCCGCTACTTTAGTGCGCAGGCTCCCGTAGACACTCTCACACAACGTGATGGACGGCCACGACTCCAAAGCGGCGAGGGAACCCCGACGTGCTTCATCTCCCTTCCCTGAGCCCAGACCAACACGCATCCTTATCGTAACCCGTGACAAGCAATCGGGGCTTTTCTGACGTGTGATAACGATTTCGATTCCGGCATTGCTTCAATTTATCTATTCCTTCAAGAAGTTTGGTACATCATCAAGTTATCCAGCCTCTCCACTTCAATTCATTGCATTACTCCCCCTTCCATCCCAGCGCGAGGTCCATCCAGCTCGAAACCGTTTGGCGCAGGTTCGTCGGCGGAGACCTGCCGCTGTTGGCTCTGCCATCCTGGTCGACGACATTTGGGACTGAGATGCCTGTCGTACTATAGCCTGCCAAACTTTGTTAGTAGAGGAGACGAAGAACGCGGACAGGGCCCTCCTCTTAGCAACAGCAGTATTGGCAGCAGCAACAGAAACAATACCAGACCCCGATCGATAACGTTGCGCTCAGCGCAATGCCGCCCCGTTCGTCGCAACTGTCTGCAGTGAGATTTCGCCGAATGGCACAACTGACATAGCTGCAGCACCCCCCGTCGACGAGCCTCAGTGGCCTCCGCGATCCCCGCACGAAGCCCTCCTCAGCACTCCCGGCGGCCGCGAACGATACAGGCGCATGAACAACCGTACATCACCTTCCCCGTCTCCCTTGAAGAAGTCAAGGGCTGTCGGCTTGGGTGCGTCAAGATCTGACGGCGCGCCAGCTGGCGGTGACGACGCCACGGGCGACGAGGAAGACGATGAGGAAACATTGGAACTCAAACTCCAGGAAATCCAAGCTCGGTTGAGGTTGAAGAAGCTTCAGAGCGCAAAGGCCAAGAAGACAGAATCGGGACCAGCATCACGGCTCGAGGACTCGCCCTCAATACCTAAAAGAACCGACGCGGAACACCGATCCGCATCCCAACGCCCCATCGAAGTCCCCGCATCACCTGTGCGTAAGGCACGGCCGGACCCGCCGCAGACGTCGCCCCGTGTGTTGCTGGGAATCGAGGGCACGACCAGAGCAATATCTCTGAAGAGAGCGCCGAGCGTCCGGAGGAATCCAGACTACGGCAACAACCAGCCGCCCCATCAGCCCCAGCAACAGTCTTTCGGGGGGTATCTCAAGAGGTCGCAAACACCAAGCTCCGACGGCGCCTCGGCGCAGCGTGGCCCTGACGCCATTCGAGCCATGAGCTTCAACGAGCGTCTGTCAGCAGCGCGAATGGAGGAATCTGGCCGAAATGACAAGCTGGCGCGGATCCGGCAGGTACGAACCACAGCGTTCAGGATCGGCCAGAAGGAGATTGAGGACCTGAAGAGCAAGGCCGTGGATCTGCCACCTCCACCACCAGAGGAGGCGCCCCAGTTCAGCCGCGAAGAGATCATGGGCGATGCAGCCCCGGGTGCATCTAAGCGCAAGGAGGAAAGGAAAGCTCCCGAAGACGTGCCTGAGACCGAAGCCACCTCGTTCGAGCCCTACTCCAGCTATCACCTCAAGAGACGCATCGTCCCGCATAGCATGCTGACGCGTCACCTCTCGGGCAAGAAGATCATGACGATCAAGGAGCTCTGTCAGCAGGTCAAGGCGCCGGACTATGAGCTCCCCGACATCGAGCAGGACATTGTCCTCTTCGCCATAGTCGCCAAACGTTCCGAACCCCGCGCGCACCAGCCCCGCCCCGACAGAAACGGCGTACAGCAGGCCGACCGCGGCAAGTACATGGTCATCACCGTCGTGGACCTGGAGCTCGAGCTCGAGCTGTTCCTCTTCAACTCGGGCTTCACCCGCTTCTGGAAGATCGGCGAGGGCACCGTCATGGCCATCCTCAACCCGACCATCATGCCGCCGCCGCAGGGCCGCGCCGGCGCCGGTCGCTTCAGCGTAGTCATCAACTCGGACGAAGACACCATCATCGAGGTCGGCATCGCGCGCGATCTGGGCTCGTGCAAGTCAATCAAGAAGGACGGCAATCCCTGCGGCAGCTGGGTCAACATCAAGCGCACGCAGTTCTGCGAGTTTCACACCAACGAGGCCATCAGCCGGGCGCGCCACAACCGCATGGAGGTCAACAAGGCCGAGTTTGGCGCCAACGATCGCAGCGGCTCCCGCTTGCGCTCGCACGATGTGGGATGGAAAGACGGGCGCGACAAGTCGGACAAGGGCGCCAAGGCGGGCTCGTATGACCGGTCGACGCACAGCCACTGGTTCGCCAGCAAGAGCATGACGCCCGCGGAGCTCATTGATGGCGCCAATCGGTTCGCCGACAAGCAGGAGCGCAAGGAGGGGCTGAAGCGGCGGCTCGTCGCACAGGAGAAGGAGAGGGACATTGTCGACCGGCTGACCAAGATTGGCAGCGGCGCGGGGAGAGACTACATGGTGCAGACAGGCCGGCAGCGTGACGAGGCAAGGGCCAGGGCTATCCCGGCGTCCGGGTCGTCGGCGTCGCTCACGTCCACGGCCAGCGACGCACCCGTCAAGCTAGATGTCAAGTCACTGGGTCTACTAGCGCCCAAGGGTCGCGATGCGGTCCACCTCGGGCCCGTGAAGCGGAAGCGGCCGGACAGCTCGCAATCTATATCTACAGCGGGAGGTTCCACGGCGACAGTCGGCTCCGCGCGAGGAGCGGCGTTCGGCTGGGGCGGGAACCTCAAGGATAAACTGGGCCGTATGAAGGAGGGGGAGAAATTCCAGCCTGAGAGTGACCGGCAACCGGTGCGGAAGAAGACGCGGTTCGTGACAGAAAAGGGCATTCGCGAGGCGGGACGTGAGAGTCTCGGAGATGCGCTGCCGGTGGATGCCGGGAGGAGAATGGTCACGCTCGACGATGATGACGATGACGAATTGGTCATACTCCAGTAGTCCGTCATAGAGCTGTTTACGAATGAGCACGACGTTATGAACCTTACAGCCTGCTGGACTCGCGCTACGTGTGTGTGATCGATGCATGCTGGCCAGTTTTTGCTCCAAAATGCAACTCCTGCTAACCAGAGAGGATCGCTAAAATGTTGATCATAGTTTGTCGCATCGATCGTTTCGCATTGAATCAACGAAATTCCGCTGCATGCGACAGGAATGTGATATTCGCTTCCCATGTACTGGGTCTTTCTCCAAGTCCTCATCGCGCAGCGAAGACGTTCGCCTCCGAGATGCCAGGACTTGATTTACAGTCTTGTTTTCGTTCCGCTCCTGCGCCTCGGAGAACGGCGCTCATAAAGTCAATCCAGGGACTAGAACCTATGAATGGCTGGGGGGGATATCAGTCCGGAACCCACACTGGCTAGTTGTCTTACTTGTCTGTGTGTATGTGAGAGTGGGAGAGTGGGAGAGAGTGCTTGCTCAGGCGATGAGCTTGGTAAGACAACACGCGCTGCCCTAGAACCTCTGACCACGATCACGAGATTGAAAGCTTTGCTCGGACAACAGCCCAGGACAGTATTCCGGCTTGTGCAACAGAATGCCAAGGCACAGGCCTGCCGCCATTGCCATGTTGGTGCCAGTCTGGCGAACACCTGGGGGCCGCCCTGAACGCGAGGCGTCGGCAATTTGGTAAACAACGCAGCAAAGGTTGATGTAGGGTTTGGGTAATAGATTGGGGTGCAGGGGATACATTGCCGGACCGACATGAGAAATTGTTGGGTAAACGCATTCGCTGTGCTTGTTCCGCAGCTGGTCAAACCGCGAATCAACAGTTGGCAATTGAGGCGCCGACCGTGGCCGAGCCACTTGATCCAGGCCGCCAGGGAAGAGAAACTCACGATATGCGGCCGTCGGCAGGCTCAACGCTAGTGTCAGTATGAGCCGGCGGGCCGCACAGGCGGGACAGCCATGCCCGCGCCATGTGAGTCGGCCGATGAGCCTCACGATGGTTCACCCTGTCTGGCACATGTCGAGGGCAGGGTGGATTTGGGGTAAAGTGACGTACATCGTCGGGGTCAAGGGTCAGGGTCAGGGCACGACGCCAAGCCTGACAACGAAGGACCTCACGATAGGTGGTCCTCGCAGTCGCAGGCGTGCATGCACGTGTATGGTCTGAGGGATGGGACCCCTGAACCCTTTCGTTTTCTCCATACAGTTGTTGGCAAGCACAAGACAAGAACCCCGCCCCCGCGTCGGGCTGGCTGTGGACAAAGTGGCTGAGGTTCGGGTCGGTCAAGCGAACAGGCTGGGTGATTTTGTGGTCGATTTTGCTGGAGGTGGGGGTGCTGCATCTCCCAGTGGTGAGCGCCCATGTACATAATCAAGGCAATCGTGTGTGAGGGTGTGCTGGATGCGGTGCAACGGGCGCAGACGGCACTGATGCACGATGGTGGTGGGGGGAAGGCCCGTGAACCTCGCTCTGTGGCTGAGGGATGAGCGGCCGTGGATGAGGAGTTGGTGTTGAGATTGGCGAAGACCAACAGGCCAGTGGCTCTCTTCGATGTGGCCAGGATTGGATATGGCATCCGGCTGATTGGGACGACTCGTAGCCAAACCAGCCCTTGTTTGCCCTGGATGTCTGGAGGGCCCCATCCCCGCGCAATCCCCGCGTTTCCACCACTCTCCAACAGTGGTGAACCTCACGTGCGTGAATGTGGGTGCGGGCTGTGGGCGGTAGAATGATCTCTGCGTATCTGCATTTCCGTGTGCGGTGTTGTGTGTGCTCGTCTCGCCCTCGGGAAGAATGTCGGCGAACGAGGCTGGAGGACCATCTTGGGCCTCTCTTGGCCATGTTCCGCCGGTCCTGCCATCCCTGAGGACGAGGCATGGGCCAGGGCGAGAGATATCGGAGTGAGCCGGGTGGTTCCTGCCTGTGTTGTCCTGCGCCATTTCCTTGACCCTCGCTCCTTCCCGCATCCGTGTTCCTCAACTCCGTTGTCGCAGTGCAAGCGACGGGCGGCAGAGCGGTAAACAGCGAGCGGGCGAGCAGACAGGCCAAGAAGCAGCACGGAGCAAGGATGGCGTCATGAGGGTATTGGCGCTACGAATTGATGACAGTCGGCAACGACGAACAACCTACCTATCTTAGATGCAGCATGCTGTACTCAACAGAAGCATGCACACACGACACGCCACAGCCATGTAGCCTGCCCACGATGCGCTTGCGGAAGGAGCTCTCGTGGATGATACTATTGCATTGTACAATGGGGCGCCCCAAAGCCAAGGCAAAGGACGAGAGCGAATGCAAGACAGGGCAGCTGCGAGCATGGGCAGATATCCCAGCCTCTGACTCGACAGGGGTGGCCATTACGTTACAACTTCTTGAGGTGCCGCCAACCCAGGCGAAATGCGGCAGGGTCGTCCTTTCCTCTCACGTAATGGCAGCCCTCGGGCGCGGCTTGTTGCAGTGACCATTATGTATTTCTGTCTCGTACGCTCCCCGCCACAGGCCTGGAAACAAGGTCTCCAGATGCGACAAGATAAGCTTGCGTCGCTAGGCGCGTTCTTTATCTTTTGGCTCGTATGGCTCGTTTGGGAAACCCAACTCTGAGGCGCCGTGAGGCCTACGAAACCACGGCCGATTATTAGCAATGCCTCCGACGAATCCACCGTCACGGCCCCCCCCTGGCCCCCCCGCCGCCTGTCGACCGCCTGCCCCTCTCCCTCTCCTCCCCCAAAGGAAAGCAGAGTGAGCGTCAAAGAGGCTGACTTTCGGCAGCCAGCGACAGGAGAGCCGGCGTGCACTGCGCTAGAGGCACTTCTGTACCTCCACATGTCAGGGACTAGCCCAGCAAGCTCCCTGCACCAGCACCACCCCGCTCCGGTAATGCTTCTGGATGACTGGCTCGCTGGCTCGCTGGCTCTGTGGTTCGCTGGCTCGCTGGCTCTGTGGTTCGCTGGCTCGCTGGCTCACTCGGGCGAAAGCCAGTCGTGCAGCAGACGTCACGGACGAACGTTTAGAAGGCGCATCCCCCAATATGGGACTTCTACCGCATCCTGGAGCACCAGCCGGGCGATCGGCCCCTCCATCACTGCGATAAGCCCGTAGGCCGTGTCAGGTCCCGGACGCCTTTTGCTGCTGTTCTTCCATTAATTGATTCATCACTAGGGGGAAGGGGGGGTGGGAGGGGCGCCAGACGAAGCCTACTCTCGTCGGTGCGACTGACGCCTGACTCTCTTGGCCCTTCTGGCTGGCCATTTTGTCCCTCATCGTCTTGTCGCCGTAGACCCGGCACCGTGACTGGACCTGGGACCCCCGAGAAGTCTGGGTGACGGGAGCGGGGGGAGAGGGCAAGCTCAGAGATGTCATCCAAGACGACGCTTGTTCTCATTTCGATAATTTGTCCGGTGTGGTCCAGTCTGATTCATCCATTCCCCATTCCCCGGTACCTTACCGACCCTGCCTGGCTTGCCTGGGTACTTGCCTTCTTCCCGTCTGGCGCGCCTCTTCTTTTGGTACTTGCCTTCGCCTGCCTGCCTGTCTTGCCTACCTGCTTGGAGTACCTAACCCAGCCAAGGTAGCAGCACCCTTCACTTACCTTTCCGTACCTTCTGCTTGGTCAACACACCTGGACCTAAACCCGTACGCTCAAGCCCAAGCCCAGGTGGTACCTCGCCCCGGAAAGCTTCCTTCCCAGACCCCTTACGTTCTTCGTCGAACGCCCCCTTCTGAACCGAACCTTCCTTCCTCTCTACCTCGCCCTTTCTTTCCCTCAACGCATTCTCTCTCTCTCTTTCTCTCTCTCCGCCTTCTTCCCTTCCTCTTCCCATCTCATCTGCGATCAGCCTACGCCAGACCGCTTTTAAAGCGCAGTCGCAAAGTAAGGCATCAATCATCCAAACCAGCCGAACCTGTGATTCTCGCCATGACCTCCGCTTGGTGTTGAGCAGACCGTGGGGATCGCAAAGCCACTGCATATTTCTTTGTATCGCGGTCCAATGACATACAAAACCCTGGCTTATCTCATCCTGGCTTCTGTCGTCACTTGAGATTCGTGCTCCGAACCCAAAGACGATAGCCTCTCTCTCCCCACAGCAGTGCGACACCACGCAGCGGCTAAGTGAGGCGGCCCTGGTCTTTAAATCCATTCGGCCTCTTGACAAACGCGACAGAGCTGACGAGCTGAAGAGAGTCGGCATCTGCCCAACGCCCGCAACCCAGTCCCAACGTCGAGGCACGCCCACTCTAGCTGCGGCCGGGTTATCTGCCTACCATATATCCCGTCAAGTCACATCAGTCACGTTTTGGGAAACCCACAGTCTCCGGACTTCGTTCCCGCCGAGCAACGCCGACCCTGCCATCTCATTCGACTCTTCCTCATCCTTATCTCCCCCTTCTCTCATCTCACAGGAGCCCTTGCGCCGCCGCCTGGAACCCTGAACGTGGGTATCCCACACACCCCCCCTCTGAATACTCCAAGTACCTGCCGTCTCTCCACCACTCAGAGCCTTATCTCCACGGCCCCGACCCTTGGCCCTCTTATCTGCAAACCCGTTTCGTGGTTTGTGTTACGGGATCGAAGCCCCCTTCTTCCCAATTTCGCCATCATCGACCACCACGCCTCGCAGCAATCCAGCCTATCCGAGCTATCAGGACTTGCCAGATACCCTCGCAGTCAGGCACATTACATCACTTGGAGCCGTGAGTGACACGCTTGGCGTTGACGCCCTTGCTGCCGCGAGCCCACTTCGCCTCCGGATACCTCCTCAGAAGCCTATCACGATCCTGGCATTTCCGCCATCACCTCCTTTGGAAACGCGGCAGCCCGCGATACTACGCCCACCACCCCCGACCCCGGACCTCTTGGACGGCGCCCCAACCCAGCCCGGCTATCGCTATCGCAGCCGTTGCCCTACGGATTGACTGTTCTGCTCGACATATCCCTTGATTACCTGCCCACTGCCCGGCATGTCTAAATCCAACCAACCTGCCGTCATCAGGACGGCTCCCATCGCCATCGCTCCTAAGCCCGTCCGCCAAAACTCCTATCGGCAAGACAGCTGCAGCACCTCCCAGTCCTACCGCAGCATGCCCGGTCTCGAGTCGGCCGAGGCCTCCTACACTGGTCGAGCCCCAAGCCCTTGTGACATTTGCCAGCGCTTCCGAATCAAGTGCACGCTGACGGACGACGACGAAGAGGGCTGCCTGCCCTGCCAGAACCGCGGTTCTGAATGTTCTTTTGTCTCGAGCCCCCCCGCAAGGAAACGGAAACTCAACGGTCATCTCGCCGACGACGGGAAGCGAAGGTCAGTCAGTCTTGTGCTCTCCCACGTGGTTCGCGCGGCGCCCGCTCACCCCCCTCCCATCCCCTTGGCCCTGTCAGCCTGCCTCGCATCGTTCCGGCTTGGCTGGTTCCGCCACTTGCCTCCTACTTACATGAATGCACCTCCTTCCACCCCCTCTTCTCCTATCATCATACCCTCATCGGCACTCATCTAGGTCACGCTCCCCTTGAAGATCTCTAACATGTGATTGGTCCAATAGCTCTCCAGGGAGGTCTGATATCAGGCGGAGACGTCAACCTCAACCCAGCCTCTCTAGCACTGCCGGCAGCAGCTCCTTCATCGAAGACATGGCCAACGTCGGCGGCCCAACCCTTCTCAAGCGAACGCTGGGACTCCAGAACGATCGCTACAGCCAGTACATCGGACCAACCACCGACTTCGAGCCGTCCCTCATCAACCTTTCACCCTTTGATCCCCACGACGAGAGCCTCCTGTCACGAGGCACCCTGCGCAAGGTTAGTGACGACGAGACGTTCCTCATGCTCCCGGACATGAACACGCCAGGGTACGAGCATACTCTGGAGGACATCGAGGAGGTCGAGGCTGTCGTTCGCCCCCATGGGAAGAAGCTAGTCGACCTCTACTATCGCATCGTCCATCCAGGGTTTCCCATCATCCAAAAGACGGTTTTCTTGGAAAAGTACGAGCGAGGCTATCGTGAATTCTCACCACCTCTGCTGGCTGCTGTCTACATCCTGGCAATCAACTGGTGGGATCATGACGAAGAGCTTCGCCGAGTCCCCAGGCCCGACGTCCGTGAGCTCGAGCGGCTGGTGCGCACAACACTGTCAGACGCCATGTATCGACCAAAACTGTCCACCATACAAGCCGGGCTGCTTCTCTCCCAACGACCAGAAGGCGACCAGTGGGCGCCGACGGCGCAACTAGTGGCCATTGGTCAAGAGCTTGGCCTGCACTTGGATTGCACGGGATGGAAGATACCGCCCTGGGAGAAGGGTCTCAGGAAGCGACTTGCGTGGGCCTTGTACATGCAGGATAAATGGGGAGCGCTTGTGCATGGTCGGCCTTCCCATATCTTCGCATCAAACTGGGGCGTAAGGCCTCTGACAGAGCACGACTTTCCCGACGTGGAATGGGATGAGAATGACTCTGAGGATCAACTGGAGATTGAGAGGGGCCGCACACTCTTTTCACAGATGGTGCACCTCTCCCAGATTCTCTCCGAGATTCTCGACACGTTCTACACACTGCAGGCGAAGCAGACAGTTACGAACAGCGGAGCCCAGGGAACGCATCTCGTGCTGTCTCTCGCCAAGCCAATCCAGCTGAAACTCAAGGAGTGGTATGCGGGATTACCCACGGCTATCCGCATGGACAATTCCTTCACGCCCTCGGCAGCTTCGACCAGCCGCCTATCCAGCATTGGGTATCTGCATTTGGCATATTTCGCAACCGAAATCACCCTCCATCGACGTATCATCCGCTCGCTTGCTTCGCCCGCATCCGCCCTTGATCCGTACGTCCATCACATTTGCCGGAGTGCAGCCAAAGCCCGCCTTATTTCGGCCATGGACTTTGTCAACCGATTGAACCCCTCGCACATTCGATCTTTTTGGTATTTCGCGTCAAAGACGAACTTTGCACTCATCGGCACGTTTGGCTCGCTCCTTTGGGCTACGAGTCCGGGGAGGGAGGAGGCCGACTGGTATCGCCGACGTCTGGGCGAGTACCGCTGGACACTCTCGGTCAGCTCCAAGCCGGGTGAAGGCACGGGACTGACAGCATTCGCTATGAAGATGCTCGACATATCCACGGGACTTCTAAAGAAGCTCCCAGAAAAGCCGTCCATGAGCCGCAGCGGCAGCGTGGCCGACATTGCAGGGAGCGTGAGCAGCGGTCCGAGTGGCTTGTCAGCTCTGAGCAGCCTAGCCGGTGCTCCTTCGCTGGGAAGCTTCAGCGGGCTGCCGAGTCGTGACGCCAGCAATGCTCACAGCCCCCAAAGCTTGGAAGATGTGGACGAGAGCAGTGATGAAGACATGTATGATGATTTTGCACCGACGGTTGGCATGACGAGAATGGCTGGTTAATGGTCCGGAAGTCACCGGGCAGAGGTTGAAATGAGGCCTCTTGTCAGTGGATGTTCATTTGAGGACGTAAAGAGCTGTCTTTTCGTCAGGAGGACACAGCATGAGCGACGATCGACATTGTAAAGGCCCCTGCGTGCAGGACAAGCCTTGTTTCACGACGACACAAATACCCCTGGAATGAATGAGCTGGACGTGGTAGATGGCCTGAGGGTCAAAGGAGAAGATTCGGGCACTTGATGTGTCGCGAGTTGGTATACACCCTATGCTGTAGAGAGCGATGTCGGAATGAATAAATGGAGTTGTCAACGACGAAGGCTCATGGTTGGACTTTGGTGAGCATGTCGCGCCTGGCGGCATCCGTCTCGGGATAGACCGACAGCCCAGCAGCTCCAGGCCGTGATGTGTCAATCATCCGTGTCGAGCAATGGGATGCGAAAACGAGTTGTTCGCATGGTATTGAAATATGAAGCTGCTAGGAGATGACGGCGAGTGGCAAACCCTATATACCTGGGAAACCTTCCCCGTATAAAGGTGAGCGGGATTGCGACCATGACGCCATGAGGCACGCCATAGTGGCGTGCGCGTGCCGTGCCGTCCACGTTCTGCGCCTCCGCCTGGGGGGGGAAACGTAATGGGAACGACGGGGCTCACATCACACATGTCCTGTTGGCGCTGAGCCCGGATGGCGCATGTGTTCTCAGTGTGATGTGTGCTATGGACAGCCGTTGCCGTCACGGCTGGGCCATGTGATGGTGAGGGCAGCGCCTGCGAGCGCGGTTGAGGCGGCGGGGCGGGGAGACGGCTCGGGATCAGGGTGAAGATTTTGCGTCTTTCTCCTTCGATTCCATGGCTGTCGACACGATGAGTGCTGAGTCGACCTTGGCCGAAGAACTCCATCCGTGGGTGCAGAGTTGAGCAACACATTGTCGTCTTCCATCTTTGCAGGTGTCTGTCTGCCTCGTTGTGTCTGGCGGCATCATTCTTAGGATTTCCAAACTAGAATCTCTGAATTTCAGCTTGTAATTAGACGGCGTGTCGCTCCTAGCCTCAGGACATCTCACGACGCGAACTTGGTGGTCTGGTCATTTTGTGTTATGGGCCTTGCTGCTGTGGTACGTCGAGGCGAGGACTTGGGCACGGGTGAGCAGCAGAAAAAGGAATAGGTTCCGATGACGATCAGTCATAGCTGCTACCCGTTGTAGAGATTGTACCAAGTGCAGGCATCAAAATCTCGGGACACACGCATGATAGTATTGGATGAGAACTGACACACATGCTTCTTCACGCACCCAGATATCTTCCCAGACGCGATCTCACAGAGCTAATAAGGAAGTTCTTAAAGTAAGGCATCCCCAGCAGAACTCCTCACGCAGACTACCTACGCTGAACTTTCTCAGTCCTCAAAAGTCCCCACGCGTAGCCTCCAACAGCGCAATAGGCTCGAAACGTGAGCCATGCGCCTCGCACCAGAGGTTTCCAACGGCGCAACCGTTTCGTCTGCTCCGACGGTGCAACGCCCGACACGCAACCCGCGGAGACCATGGGTCAGTCCTCCAACGGCCCAATCAAGGGCGCCAGCATCCTTGGCAAGAGCACGGCAGCATCCCCCTCAAAGACGAAATCCACATCGTCCCGCCTGTCACGCCCGACCTCGAGATCAACAACACAAACCCTGGCCCCCCGCGCGCGGCCGAGCTCCACGTACGCCGCCGCAGGAAACACGCGCGCGCTCGTGCCGACGACGAGAACGAGATCGACCATCTCGGCCTCGATCCAGCCGTCGATCGAGTCCAGCACCGCGTCGTCGAGCGCCTCGCCGAACCAGACGACGCCCGGGCGCAGCAGCGACGAGCACCGCGGACACGAGGGGAGCGCGTCGCGGCCGATGGACGGGAGGGCGTGCGCCGCGTCGAGCAGCGGCAGCGTCTGGCCGGGCGCGGCGTCCGCCGACGCCGGCGCCAGAGCCGGCACGAGGGGATCGGCGAGGTTCTCTTCTTCGTGGTAGCCGCATCCCTGCTGCTGCTGCTGCTGCTGCTGCTGCGTCTCGCCGCTGCCGGCCCTGCTGTCGTGGTCATTGCCCGAACACCGCAGCCCGAAGAGGTTGCCGTGCAGAGCGCGCAGCTGGGCGGCCGGGTGGCCGGCGCGCTGCGACAGGCCGTCGACGTTCTGCGTCAGGCACAGAAAGCCGGGGGCCGCGCGAGCGAGGGCGGCGAGGGCCATGTGGCGGCGGTAGGCGTAGAAGAGCCAGACGAGGGCCGGGTCGGCGGCGAAGGCCTCGGGGGTGGCGAGGCGGGTGGCGTCGTGGCGGCGCCAGAGCCCGCCGGCGCCGCGAAAGGTGGGGAGACCGGAGGAGGCGGAGAGGCCGGCGCCGCAGAGGGCGAGGATGCGCGGCGTGTGGAGACTGGTGAGGAGGGCGTGGAAGGCGGCGAGGTCGGACGACATGATGCGTTGTGGCGTCTGCTGGTCTTGACGTTCTTGAAGCTTTGGCAATAGGTGAACGTTGGGGGGTCACATGCCCGATCGCGTGGATGTGAATGATGACACGCAGGGTCATTGCCTGGTTCGGGATATATTGGGGGCATCACGTCGGCATCGCGCCTGTGATTGGCCTCTGCGGCGGTTGTACCACTGCTGACGCTGTCTAGGCGCATGCTGACTTGCATGTTGAGATGATGCTCCTTTGCTTTCAACACCAGTTCAAGGACAATGAAGGCCGTGTCACCAGGACGCTTCCATATATTCATTTTCAAGCCCACCCCATCTTTACTCCTCATTCACCAAGACGTAGCGGTACCGCGGTTTACCCTCCTCGACATCCACAATCGCTGCGTTCGCATCCGCCATGGGCCGCACCTGCACCCACGGCTTGACCCCGTTGCGCACGCTCAGCTCAAACATGTCCCGAATCTCCGCCGGCGATCCGATGGCCGAACCCGTTATCTTGACCCGCCCCGCAAGCAACGGGCCCGGATGGAACGAGAACTGCCCGTCATCCGGGTTGCCCACCTGGACGAACGTGCCGTCGCGCCGCAACAGGCCCAGATACTCCTGCAGGGGCATACGGCTCGAGCTGACAGTCGATATGATTATGTCGATGCTTTTGGCGTTCTCCTTGGCCCAATCGGCATCCCCGTCAGTCGATATGTACGCGTCGGCGCCCATCTGCAGCACCTCGTCCCTCTTGTCCGCCTTCCGGCTGATGCCCACGACGCGGTCAGCACCGAGGGCCCGCGCAAAGAGCACGCCGAAATGGCCCAGGCCACCGACGCCAACGATGCCCACCGTCTTGCCCGGCCCTGCCCCGTGAAACCGCAACGGCGAGTAAACGGTGACGCCGCCGCAAAGCATGGGCGCAGCGTCCTCCGACGCGAGGCCGTCGGGAATCTTGATGACGAACGCCGAGGGACATCGGTGGTAGGTTGCGTGGCCGCCCATCGTCTTGCCTCCGTTGAAGTGGAAGCCGCCGTACGTATGCACGGCGCGAGGGCAGTAGTTGACGGAGCCTTCATCGCACTCACCACACGACCCCGCCGGGGCACCGCGGCCGAAGCAGCTGTCTGACTGCGCACCGACGCCGACGCGGTCCCCGAGCTGAATGCCGCCCGAGGCTTGGGAGCCGACACGGACGGCGACGCCAACGATTTCATGGCCGACACAGATTGGATACGGAGCAGGGCCCTGTCCTGGTGGTCAGCTGCTTTCTGCAGAAGGCGAGTGGGAAGGCTAAGGCGAGCACAAAGATGGTGGAAAAGCTTACCCAGCCAGAGCGCAGCATGTGCAAGTCAGAACCGCAAATGCCGCTGTGCGTGACTTTGATGTCAACATCTGTGTCTTCCCAAGCCTTGGGCTCAAATGTCCCCCAGACCATGTTGCCCTTGACCGAAGCCTCGTCATGGCCGATCCAGCCCTCGAACTTGTAGTCGTCGTCTGCCATGGCGGTTGTCTTATTGTGCTTCCAGGTGTTTCTCACGTGTCTATATGTGCGCGCCTCGTCCGTGTTGTCTGGTGCGGATCAAAAGCTGTCGATTGTAGTGTGTCGGGGGGGTAGACAAAGCGTTCCTGGCCAGGAGGCACATTCGGCCTTTTCAAGCGCTTCCAACATCGGCCGGTAAAGGTCTTCCTGAGCTCCCACGACCCCCAACCCATGACGTCTGCACCCCATCGTCTACGAAGCCTTGAAGCCCAGCGATTGCGCCGCTCCGACTTTCTTTACTTTTTGTTTTTCCTTCCTTTCTTTGCAGCGTGGCATACCAACTCGGTCCGTTGACCCTGTTGAGGCAACACAAGGTCGCCGATCACGTCGTGCGGAAATCGACGATGCCGAAGCCCCCCCCCGAATCGAATTGTGCAGTACGCCATGCCCATTGGCCGCCCTAGCTGTTCACCTGCACGGCACGACCCAAAACCCGGATCACTGTCTCAAGGCAAATGGCAGCTCCGAGCGCAAGACGCAGCACCTGCTCGCTAGAACCTCGGCAAGATTCATATAAGGGCCGCGTCAATGACGGGCGCAGAGCCAGACGTCATCTCGACAGGCGTGAAGGATGACGGGGGGGATGAAGATATCTCCTCGCACACGACCGGCAGTCTGTCTGTTTCAGAGCCGAAGCGAAAGAAAATGCCATGTTCAGAGTTGAAATGAAACGGTGGGAGTGCCCAAAGCTAATCGAGTCCGCCATGACGCACAGGCTGTCCGATATACTTCTGCTTCCCATCGCTCTTGCTTGCCCCTTTCGCAGTGCAATGTCGCTTCCTCACGAAATGACTTTCCGATGAACATCAGGCACGATCCAACCCAGCACGGTCATCAACGCACACCCCCCCCCCCCCCCTTCTTTTCCACCTACCTAAGCGAACGTCTAACCAGTTGAACCCCCCTGACTATTCCCATTCCCCCCTCCCCTCCCCTTGCGAAGGGAAAAAACCTAGTTGCACACGAAGACACGATCATCAAAGTTGCATCGATCGCTTGCGAAACCCGGCTCTCGCATCGTATTAAGATATATTTGATGTCCGGGGTTTAGACCTTCCGCTTGCTTCCAAGTTCCAGTGGGTGAGGGGGGGCCCTACCCCCGGCCCGACCCCCCCCCCCCCCCCCTTCTCCCCCCCCTAATTCTCCCTTGCCCCGATCCGGGCCCCGGCCCGTTGGCCTCCCGGAACTCAGTTGCGCTTTGCAGACGACGCCATGCGAAGGTCGAGATCGAAAGTCTATCTGTCGAAAGAGTAAGCAGCAACAACTTCGTGTTTTCACTTGCCCTGCACTGCATGACTGCGCTACCGAAGTACTTTGACAGAGATGGATTTCCTTCGTCATTCGGCACTGTTTATCCCTCAGGACTTTACGCCCAATGCGGCCCCGCGCCCCAAGAGAAAGTCTGGGCGGCGGAAATGAGTGCCCCTAGCTCTGGATCCGTTGGCTCAGGGGTCTGAAACGGGAAATTAGCAACGCGCAGCACAGCACGGATCACACGCTTGGCAAACAAAACACAGCACGGGGAAAGAGTGCATAATCTGTCTTGTACTGGTCAAAATCGATTGGTCCATCCGTCTACACTACTCGCCATCTAGAGGTATCATCGTCACCGTAATTACAAAGCAAGCCCACCCACGCTCCGCGTCACACGAGGTCGCCTCAAAGGCATGCTACCTGATGCTCATGGCATTCGCGTGCCCATGTCCCGGAGCCTGCCATGAAAAACACCTTGAGATAAAATCAAAAATATCCGTAAAGGTCGGCCTGGTCCGGACGTGGAACCCGCTGCGTGGATCGAAGTCCCTGGAAGAGCCCATGTGCATTAAATAAAAGCCAATGTATTGAGAAGAGGTCGTCCTACTACCCGCGACGCCCCTCAACGAACAGAGCCACCCCTCCATGAGAGGAGGCTCCGGAAGCAGTGGGCGGCCGGGTGTGGCGTGTGAAGGAGTGTGACAAGGAAGTGTAGGAATTATACATTGAGCTCTCCCGACGAACCGGCCTTTGTACTGTGTGCTTGTCGCGCGTCTGCGTCTGATCATCGACGAGAGATGTATCAGCCGTTTACAGCATGAAGGCGAAGAAGAGGCCAATGGCGCCCATGGCCATGTTGGCGCGGTTCATCATGCCGCCGGCGGGCTCAGCGGTGGGAACCGTCGAGGCGGCGCCGGCGCTGGTGGAGGCGGCAGCAGAGTCCGAGTCGGCGCCAGAAGTGGTGGCAGAAGCGCCGGTGGACTCGGCGGCGCCAGTGGAAGAAACGACAACGGAGCTCAGGGTGGTGGAGGCGGCGGCGGTGCTGGTGGTCTTGTCGTCGTCGTCGGTCTCCGTCTCCGTCTCCGTCTCGCTGGCCTCCTCCGTCTTGGTCTTGGGGGCGGCGGTGGTCTTGGTGGCAGGAGCAGAGGTGGTGGTCTCGTCCTTCTCATCGTCGTCACTGCCGTCACCGGTCACGATCTTGATGGACTGCCACTTGCCAGACTTGTCGCCGTAGACGTACTCCTTGGCGTTGGGGGTGCCGCTGGAGGCGTCGTTGCCACCGGCGTAGTCGACAATCTTGCAGTTCTGGTAGTAGCCGATGAAGGGAGCCTTCTCGTAGTCCGAGTAGCCACCGGCCCACTCGACGGTGCCCTTGGGGGTGTTCTTGTTGCCGGCAGGCCAGGTTCCGATCTTGATCTGCATGGGGGTCTGGGGGTACTTGTCGCCCACGTCGGCGGCGTTCAGGGTGCGGACGACAGTGCCGTCGATGATCCAGTCAATCTTGTTCTGGTTCCAGACGATGCCGTACTTGTGGAACTGGTTGAGGGGGTTGGCAACGGCGTGCTTGCCACCACGGTCGTAGGTGGTCGTGTCACCCTTGGAGAAGTAGTTGGTCTGGACGTTGGCGTTGTCGCCACCGGTCCACTCCCAGTCAATCTCGTCAAGGTCCTTGGACTGCAGGACGATCGAGGTGACAATGCCCTGCATGTTGGCGGCCTGGACGTTGCACTCGAGCTCGCCGAAGAAGATGAACTTGTGCGAGGCCTTGGTGGGAGCCTCGGTCTCCTTCTGGATGGAGAAGACGGCGCCCTTCTCCTTGTCGTAGGTGACCTTGGTGCCGGGGAGGGTGTAGAGGTAGTCCTCGCCGTTGGACTTGGTGAAGTCGATGTCGACCGTCTTGCCAAAGGCAGGGTCGGGGTCACAGGCTGGGGGATCATGTTAGCATTGTCGTGACAGCCCGGCGCATGGGCGTGTTGAAGACGGCACTTACACTTCTTGGTGGGGTCGCAGTCGGTGAAGGTCTGAGCGGAGACGAGGGAAGAGGCGGCCAGGGCCACGGCGAAGAGCTTGGAAACCATCTTGAATATTGTTGTTGATGGGGATGTGTGGGGAAGGAATTATTGGCTGGTAGAGTACTGAGCGAAGGTTGACGAAGGTTCAAAGACTGCCTATTAACGAGTGATGCAGTTGTGTGCTAGGAAGAAACAAGAGGAGGAAGAGGGGGTGTTTGTTGTAGGGTGATGAGAGAGGGAGGTGAGGCAGAAGGGGGAGAACATGCCAGTCGACTGAGCAAGGAGACGGCGGTTTTATCAGAAGATGCGCGCTCTCTCTCATCCCTCAACAGAGGCACCACCCTCGCCTCACCTGCACCACCGAGCATAGCGACCGCCGGACGGCACGCGCATGGCCCTTCCCCCCCCTCCCCCTTGAAGCGGGTACTGATGGATGGAGACCAGCCCGTGCACCTCGATCCAGTGATGGGTGTTCATTGCCCCGTAGCCGAGTGTGCCCAGGCGCCATCTTCTCGATACGATGGGCTGCTCAAGGTCATTTCGTAAGGCGCGGTCCATGTTCTGGGGGCCCGGGGGAAAGAACGACAGGGATGTGAAAGGACAAGGGGAGGGTTGACAGGGGCAAAGGGACTTGCTAAGGGAAGGCATTGCTGGGGGGGTCATTTCCGTGCCTGAATCGGTGACCCAAAGCAGCGCTGGTAGGCAGCAGGAGGAGCCCACAAGCGTGTCTGGTGGAGGTTAGAGGCAGGCAGAAGGAGCAGTAGCGCAGCCAACCCCTGAGAACAGACCGGCCTCACGGCACTGTCGAAGAAGGAGGGGGGTGCAGATTTTAGGGGTCCACAGATCCAGCAACGCGCCGTTACCGAGGAGAAGCAGGTCGCACAGGCAGCCAATGGCAGGTGGCGTCCCAAGTCTGCGCCCCCCCCCCCAAGACACAGTCGGCATGAGGACGCGTAGGTGCTGTACATGTACTGTAGGCGTGAGCGGCGCCTCGATTGAGCCATCGCGTTCGCCGCGGTGCCGTGTCATATGCACATGCACACGCACACGAACACGCAGCGCGCAAGATTCGTACGCCAAGATGCCTGCATAAGTCCGCACCCACCCTCCCCTGCTCATTCCATCTTGGCGCATGTCCCAACGCTCAAAACCACCTAGCTTCAGGCTTCTGAAGGGGGGCGCAGGCACCAACCAACAGGGGCCGGTTTTGGGGCGGCATTCCGCTCTTCTCTCGTGATGACCTCGCCCCTCCGTTCGTTCCTTGGCTCTCCTCGTGTTTGGGCATGCCACGCCTTTCCCGACCTGTCATCGTCATATTCCATTCCCTCCATCAGGCCTGTTGACTCGCCTTGGTCATTCCCGCTCACTCAACATTCAGTTGCTGGCATGCGACCGCCCCAGTCTCTCGGTAACGCCGTCTCTCTTGCGTTTCGTAAATGCCCATGTTGATGACTCTCCCCTCCCCCTCGCGTACATGTACGACAACACCGACACAACACGACGGTCATAGCAAAGGTCACAGCAGCATGTCTGAAGCGCCTTGCTCAGCACCCAGCCTGCCATCCGAAGCACACTCGTGGCAAGTGACAAGATGAGCACGGGCACGAGCACGGCACGAGTCGATACCGTTCGGCCACCCGCTGTCCGCCGCTTATCCGCCTGTGGTCGGCGCCTGGCGCAGATCCCTGCCGCACATCTCTGGGCCCTGGCGCCAGGCTGGAATAGTAAATAGTTGGGTTTTTTTCACTCACCATCGCCTCACCAATGACTGTTCATGGGGGGTGCAAATTTCTTCTATTAATCATCTTCCATATGGGGGTTTAGATCGAGGGGCAGCACAGCGTACGTTACGTAGCACTGTGGCCTTCCAAAACACCGAGTCCAACGTTGGTTCGAGGGCTGTCATCCACCAGATACGTCTTGACCCAAGCCGTCGAGCCTTTGAAACGCCCTGTCGGCCAATTCTTCGATCCATGGATTCGAGCAGTTGCTACCCCTCCTGCTCACTTCCGCTCGTCTTGTTGGCTGAAGAAGATAAGTCGTGGGTGTGTGTTTGAGACATAGCCGCCCTCCCAGGCTTGCCAGGATCACCCATCTTCTTTTGGTCACCTTCCTCTTCGTCCACCTACCTTTGGCGCCCCCCCTTTTCCTTCACTTTTGTGGCTCCTATTGTCTCACGCCCTGAGCCCTCCTGGATCTTCATTTTCAAGCCGCCGTCTCTTCACCGTCGACCCAGCGACCTTTGTTTCCTCACAATCACGTTGGCTGTCATCGGGACAGGACCACAATACTTGTCCCCATGCAACAGTCGATCCTGACGACAACCTTCTCCCTGGATGACGATGGGAACTTTTGAGTTTGCCGCGTTCTTGTGCTCTGTTCCCATCAGCTACAGATTTTTCCTTGTTCCACTCATATCCTCCGGATGCTAGTCGAAACCTCCCGGCTGCTGACTCGCAGGCAGTCCTGGCAGAGGGCACTGCAGGGCTCTGCGACAAAGCCTGGCCTGGCCTGGCCTGGCCGTCAGCCGGCAGCACATCTCGACTGCTCCATGTCTCGAAGCCTGTAGGTTCCAGTTGTCAGCTCGAGCAACTATCAGCCAGCCCGCACCCTCGTCTCTGCGATCAGACATTGGACAACCCAAAGCAAAGAACGATTCTGAAAAGCTCAGATGGGGAACGGGGGCACTGCCACGCCATGTTATTCGTCTGGATACATGCCCCCCGAAAGACTGATGGGGCGTCAGGGTCTGGATATGTCCCTTGTTGACCACCCCTCCTGCAGCCCTAACAGAAGAGTCTGGAAGGGGGTGAAATAGGGGGGGGGGTCTTATTTGGTTCGTGTTACCCCCATATTGCACTCCCCCCAAAGTTCACGGGACCTTGATCTCGGCGCGCGGCGCTAGCCTGGCGGCCTCTGCTAAATATATCACAATAGCTCGACATCGCCCGAATTCATCTTGTCGACAAAGACATTTTCGGTCACGCGTCAGCGACCGATTTTTGCCGCCCTCGTACCAACGAAGATCTGTTTCCAAATCTTCTCGAACCCTTCGAACCGGCACGGTTCGGCCAAGAGGCAATCATCAGCACTGCTCCCCACAGTCCCTTCCTTTTCTGGATCCTGTGAGCCGAGTCCCGCACAAACACGAGCTATCAGCGGAGCCTTGGCCCGTGCCACCCGACGGTGTCCCCGATTTTCGGTCGCTCTTCCAACCGGGCAAATGACCATTGTGCAGATAGTGCAGTGCACCTACATGTACTTTCTTCACTGCCATGGTCTTCTGGTGATCGTGACGTCTTTCTTTTGGCAGCTCGCCTCGCTAACGTGATCAGCGTCGTGTGGCATGACCCGCATGTTCACGTCTGTTGTTCCCTTTTCGCTGATCTTGACTCTGCGGTCTGCAGCGTGCTGTCGTTTATTTATTTTTTGTTTCTACCCGTGCCATGCTCTGCAGGCGCGAGACATGGCCTACTGCCGTAGCTACAGCTTGACTGATCTGTCCATTGGTCATGGAAAAATAAAAAAACCGAAAGCGGCGACATCGCGGCCCGATATTCTGGCATTTGGGACATACAGCACTCACCGCCATCGGTGTCACTTGTTGTCAGTCACCAAGTGCCAACATGTCGTGGGTGTTCTGTATGCTGGCAGCGCAGTGTATCGTGACACCGCATGCCGCCCGCCTCTTGGGACCATGCCGTGGTCGTGTCACCGACGGCTTGTCGAGACTTGTCAAGCGATCGTGGCTGCAGGCCTTGTTAGGCTGTGACACGTTGGCGTGGCGTATGGTCCGCCTGCATTCCCTGTCTCGTGTCGAATCACTTGACCGTCGTGCAACAGCATGGGCATCGGGCTTTCTACCTCGTGGGTTCTCGTTGTTGACATGATAATGAAACAACGTCGCTTCTTGCGTGCTGAGTGGTAGATCGATGACCTCATCAGAACCTCATCTTTTGTGGTCTCAAAAGGATCATCAACCAGCCCGTCTGGGCCTTGTACACGCTGTGCGTAGAGGCCTTTCCTTTCTTTCAGTGCCTCGTGTAGCATCGCGTTGGCCCTGGGGGTCAACATGGACATGGCATGACAAGATTACAGCAAACTCAATGCTGGCAATAGGATGCGGTAAGAGGTCCTCGGCTCTACTGTTGTCACCTAACGTTGGGCCTCACTCGACACATGTGATCTGGGTAGGCACGGCAAGGTGATATCCTGCAACCAGTTCCCTTAGCTCTCTCAGTCATTCTCTCTCTCCAAGTTCGTTCAATATGCTGTCCCAATGGACCACTTACCGAGGGTGCAGCATATGCCCGCGTAGAACCACCCTGGCCATGCCATACGTCTCGGCATAGTAAGTTGCAATAGCTAACTTTGGCAAAATGTATGAAATGAGGGCCAGTATCTCTGACATTTCCAGCATTTCTACCAGTGACATACCCCATAGCATGCTGAACCATCCGCCAGAAATAGGACGCCGCCCCATCTCCGACACAGATGCAATGATTCCCCGTTTGGACGCGAGCGGGCACGAAGAACTATCGTAACCAGGCCACAGGATCAGTAGAGCATGCTGGCCGGGCCTCCGTCGACTACTAGGTGCCACCAAAACAGGCCGCCATCACCAGTTCTTTCAACTCTCAACTCTCTGGAGAACTGGACGATGAAGCTGAACCCTTCGCTTCTAAGGGTCTCTTGTGGACGGCACTGGAGTTGCTGGCCTTCTCGGTACTGTCGCATAGTCATTATGTACGGCAATTAGGCGTCCATTTGCCTGTTGAATGTTTCGAGATGCCACAGGCTCGCTTCGCTGAACAGTCACTCAGAATCGTATTTTCGGCATTCATGCACTGACACTGTGAGAGCAGCGCGGACACAAGGAGGCCGTCGACATGGCGAGGCCGGGTGGCTATACACGAGTCTGGCTATGATTTGAGAACAAGTGGTGATGGAGACGAAGATAAAACGAGGAAGCATTGACCATGGTACGCGGCACTCCGGCGTAGTCGACGGCTCCGTTGCCAAACCGCAGAACGCACCCCAGAAGAAACGCATATACGAGGCGGCCT